TGTCGACTATTAAAATCGTCGACGACTAATTTAATAGTCGACGCATCGTTTGAAGCTTTGTAAGATCACAAAGGACGCAGGAATGAGTAGTAGGATTTAAGAGTGTAATAACGGACTGAAACAGAAGATGGCAGCACTGCATGTACAAGGATGCCAGCTGCCGTTAAACCCCGAAGAAGAAGAAGCTGTGTCCCAGAATTCATAGCGCAGCCCAGCGCAGTTGTCAACAATGGCGGCAGCTAGTTAGTTTTAACTTTACTCTTATTATTCTTTCTGGGTCACAAAATAAACGTTTAACATATTTTCAGGCGAGAATGTAGCTGTGTAAACCTCAAATATCTGCTCAGTTTATCAAGACACCACATATTTTCAAAAGCGCTCCGACGTTTTCGGAGACGTCTGTTACCCACTAGCTCGATAGCTAGCCGGGGGCAAGGCTACTAGAGCCGTGAGAACACCGGACTCCCGGCAAATCGTTTTCAAACCCACCGCCGTCTTTCGCTACTCAGGTTAAACATGATATAGAGTCACTTAGATAACTTAAAATGTTATTGTTTGGCTTTTTTCAGTATTTTATTTGTTCCTGAGTAAATCGGTTTGGCTGAGATTAAAGTTATAGTTTTTACACAGCTGAATAAACGTCAAGCAGACAGCTGATTATCAGAAGTGTGAGATGCTGGAGAATATACTCCGGTGTCCTGTTATATTTTAGATAGCAAGGAGTTTATTAAACTTCACCGAAACAATCTGCAAATTTCATTAAAATTTAATAAACTATCATCTTGTCTTTATTTTTAGTTAGCACAAACACTTAAAGCTGTAAGCTAATGATAGTTATATAAGAGCAGATGCTGCTGGTGCAATAAGCTGTACGTTTTACGTCCAATGGATGATGATCTGATTAGTCGACTAATCGCAAAAATAATCGGTGACTAGTCGACTATCAAAATAATCGTTTGTGGCAGCCCTACTAAGGACCCCAAAGCGCTTCACACTACATTCAGTCATTACACATTCGCACACTGGTGATGGCAAGCTACATTGTAGCCACAGCTGCCCTGGGGCGCACTGACAGAGGCGAGGCTGCCGGACACTGGGCCACCGGGCCCTCTGACCACCACCAGTAGGCAAACATGGGGTTAGTATCTTGCCCAAGGATATTTGGCATGCAGCCAGGAGGCAGCCTGGGATCGAACCACTGACCTTCTGTTATGGCTGACCTGCTCTGCCACCTGAGCTACAGCCACTCCGAATGACGCTAAAGGGATTTGTGTGAGATCAAATCGGGGATCTTTGACTTGTTGGGAAGACAAATTCAGATAAAGCAAGCCAATAACACTTGGACACAGAGTAGAATTTCAAATGTCTGGTGTGTTTAAAGTAGTGGAAGCAGATGGATCCCTCTTTTCTTTCTGCCTTCTCCCGCAGGTTCTCGTAATAGAGCAGAAGAGCGAGGATGGCACATGGCCCCGAGGCTCCACGGCACCCAAGTGAGTGAATGACACACTGCCTGGCTTACATTTCTTTGGCTCTAATGAGTTGTACCACAGTAATGGAATCAGATTCCTACTTTGTACTCTAACAATACTGTCACTTTACTAAAAGCTACACGTAAGCAAAGTATTATTGAATGACAGATAACTTGTATGTAGTCAGTTTGAAGAAAAACAGTAATGTGATGTGACACCACATCAGATTTCCTGCTGTGGGGATCTCTCCCATCGATCTTGCCATTATCTTCCTCTCTGGAAAACATGCAGAATTAAAAGTGTATTGGTTTTAAAGTTTCCCTGCCACATCACTGCAGCGCTGCATCATTGTCAAAGATTTCCGCCCCTTGTGACTTTGCCTGAGTTTCCTTCTTTTTTTGCTCGACCTTTTGTTGCTGACATATAGGGATGGGTATCGTTTAGGTTTTATCCGATACCGGTGCCAAATCGGTACTTTTGAAACGGTGCCGGTGCTCAAACGGTGCTCAAACCGGTGCTTAAAGAATGGAGAACACAAAATTGGTCCAAAAACCTCTCATGTTCAGCTGTTTTTTGTAAAAAGATAACAATGTTAGCCTTTTCTGCAGCTATGGGGCATATATGGTATCACTCTTGGCTGGAAGCAGTGCTTAAACAATGGAAAAAACACAAACTTTTCCAAAAACCTCTCATGTTTAGCTGTTTTCCACTTTTTCTTTGGTCATTTTAGCCTTTTTGGCCAGGGTGAAGGGAGTATCTGCCATCAAACAAGAAGACAGCCGCATGTAGCTATGATGATGTTTGCTAGTTCACCTTACTGCATTAATGTAATAACGTGGTTAGCCTACTCAACGTAAATTACACACGAACAACATTAAGCTACTCACGCAGAGAAGAACGGCTGCTGCTGCATCATCATCCGTCATCATTTCTGCTACACTGGCAGGGCTAGGGGCCAGGACTCTCCTCTTCGGTTTTTGGGGATGTTGCTAACTCCGGGTCCGATAACAGGCACCACACCCGCAGTAGATGCGCTCGGTGTGAGGTCTCGCAGCAAGCTATCAAATACGCGCATTTCTTGGCTTTTAAAAAAAACGCTATGCGTCGCCAGGTGTTTCATCGGATTCGAGGTGTTACCTCCTTTGACAGTATCACAGTATCAGCTTAAAGCACTTGTTGCAGGCTGCTGAGTTTGCATATTTTGCTGTGAAGTACAGCCAGACTTTTGACCGCTTCGCCTTGGACATTTTTAATCTGTAGCTTATGGAATCAGAACGATGCCACCTTGAAACGAAACCGAAAAATATTGAAACCGAAAAAAAATATTGTAACTGAAATAAATGTACTGAAAAATCTTGTATTGAAACCGAAAAAAAAATTGATAGTGAAAAACAATTAATTGAAACTGTAATTTTTTTGTTTTCGCTTACAATTTTTTTTTTTTCGGTTTCAATCCATTTTTCGGTTTCAACCATTTTTCAGTTTCACTCTGCTGGCACCATGTTTCGGTTTCAAACCATTTCGGATTGCTCCTGTAATCACAAACAGAACAGAATCATCACAAGCTGAAATATAAAGTTTATCTCAAATCTGAAATAGAGCTGATCCTTCTGTCCTCACACACTCGGAATCTGAAGTTGTTCAGTCCTACAGTTCTGCCAACAGCTGTTTATTTTTTAGTTGTTTTAAAGGCCTTATATACTAACACATTTTCTAATATCATGTTTACCTTTGAGTTGTTGATGCTTTATAAATGGACATCTGCAAAGATGAGATGATGGAGCAGGTTTCAGTCGAGGTTCAGTCTGCTGCTGCATCCTGGTCACAACATACAGAGGTGTTATCAGCTCAGTATTGAACAAGAAATATTAATGTTTCAAATTATTTGTCCTAAAGGATGCAAGCTGTACAGAGTACTGAACATGTGACTTTGTGAACATAATTCATTAAAAATAATTTGGACAGTTTTTAACCTGAATATTTGTAACAAACTAAAAAAAAAAAAGCTAAAAAAATAATCAGAGGAAAAATGTAACATTTTAACTTAAGCTGACAAGCGGAAGTAGTTGGTTTCAGTACATAAGTATCGGGCTTTGCTATTTAATCCGTAGCTATTGACTAATGAGGGGTTACTGAAGTGCCAGGTTTTTAAAATTGGCGTTAATGTCGTTCCACAAGTGGAAAGCGACAGAAAACATGCTGCTGTTTGCACATATTTAATAATCAGCTCTGCAGAGTCCAGCCTGTTGCTCTTACAGTATAATACTCATAATAAAAGTACAGTAACCGTGGTTAGTCACTGAGCAGCCCGGTGCGTTCCTCTTGATTTCTTTAGTCAGGGTAAATTCATTCACCTGCACGGGTTAGCTAAACGAACTTTACAAAACAAGTTTCCCCAACAGCCGAGTGCTCATCTTAGCTAGCTAGGTCCTTAGCTGGCTAGGTAGCTAGCTAAGGACCTAAATTACGGATTAGTTTACAAACACATTTAACTTACCAAAAATAATGCGGTGGGGCCTCAGGTCCTCCTGTCCGGTAGTCCAATTTACTGAAGAACACCTCAGGCTGTCACTTTGAAATAGTCTGTAATGTAAACCTGGACCTCTCAGCATCTGCCATTTCCGAACAGACACGTGCAACTTTGTCCGTGACCGCAGCCGCGTCGTAAGTGTTTTCTCCAGTCATTGGTCAGCATTATAATATATGCAAATACATGCGGGTCGGAATCCCCGCCCCCCAGCGCGCCCCCTGACGCCAAACCAGTGCCAGCAGAGTGAAACTGAAATATGGATTGAAACTGAAAACAAAAATTGTAAGCGAAAACAAAAAAATTGCAGTTTCAATTAATTGTTTTTCACTATCAATTTTTTTTCCGGTTTCAATACAAGATTTTTTAGTACATTTATTTCAGTTACAATATTTTTTTTTCGGTTTCGTTTCAAGGTGGCATCGTTCTGATTCCATAGTAGCTCTGCTCCAAAAGAACGTACATACCTGGACACGTCTACTATCCTCGGAAACGTAAAATGATTGGCTAGAAGTGTATCATAGCTCAGGAAAAAAAAAGCACCGAAATAAAGCACCGAAATGTGCGCTGCTTTTCGGTCTGGTTACTACCGTTTATGTCAGAACCGGTGCCATCATGGCACCGGACACCGGTACCCATCCCTACTGACATATCACTCCGTTTATTTTGTTTCATCGCTGTTTAATTTGATCGGCACTCAGCTTTCTGGAACAGCTCCTTATTTTCCACTCTAATTCATGATCTATTCTTTATCTTTTGAAGGTCATCTGGTGCTTCCAATCTCTCTGCTTTGCCAAAGATCTCGCCTTCATCTCTCACAAACAATCATAACAGCAGCTTCAACAGCAGGAAGTAAGGCATAGTTGTGGGTTGAATAGCAGAGGGGTGGGTTTGGATGGGAACAGCCAGAGATGGAGCCTGATGTGCAGCCTGGAGTTCAGGACAGAACTTCACGCTGAAGTCGCCAGAATGCTGGAAGGAATTGGCTTAAAAATTTGTTGCTTTTAACTTATGTAAACTTTTTCTTGACTCTTTTATCAGTTCTGTTTAGACTCATTCCATAATTCCATTACTGAAGCTGTTTGTAGCTTCTCACTATGAAATTCATCTAACTCTGTTTTGTACAGGTCTATCTCTGGTTGTAATTTGGGTGTTCTAAATCTCCTGATGATGCATTTTCAGCTGTAAGAGCTGATAGAAAAGAGGGGGGAAGGGCGCTTGCGTTGGACTGATCTCTTAAAATTTCTTCAGTGACAGTAGACTCCCTTTCTATTAACAACAAAGCCTCTGGGTGCCTTACTCAGCTTCTGATTATATTACTCAAATTTGCAAATCTATTTTCCAATTGATGATGGCACTGGCTAGCTGTGGTTGCATGATTTGGGCTAATGTGGTGGTTATTTCATCTAGCAACATTCCACGAGGTTTTGCTTCTGTATGTTATTTGATTTAACACCAGACTACATCTAAATATGTCTTTCAGGAAAATTAAAAACTTAAACCTTGAACATTTGTTTAAATACAACACGACAGCATGCTGTCAGTCAGTTACTTTCAAGTTCATGTTCCTAGTAGATTAGCTGGTAATGTCAGAGGATTTTTCTCCTGTTCCCGCATAATGTACAAGACCATAAAGTTTCCAGTAGGAATAACTGACTCTAGGGTTCAGTGATTGATAAGATTTATAAATCTGTAATGCAGACTAGACCTCCTATTTTAAATGTCTTTCTAATACCTGCAGCCTCTTTGTGGCTGATAGTCCTGAGGGGAGTCTGCATGTGGCCTCTTATTAAAACTATGCCCATATCCACAAACTTCACAGAGACTTGGACAGAATCTTTGCATTTGTTTGCTAAAACTGACATGACTGCTCATTTCATCAGTCTTCATTTCCTGAAGCATAGACCGCAGTTGCCAAAAACTGTCTGACTCATCAGGCAATTGAATTTGGGTGGAATCTGCTTTTTCATAACTTTGGATCTTCCTTTCTGCATTTAGTTAAAAAAAAAAATCAAAATAATAAATAAAATAAGTCAGCTTGCAATGCCATTGTAGCTAACCTGGGAAATGGCGCCAGAAATACTACTATGTTAAGCTGATTATGCTACAGCTACAGGGTACTACTGCCTGGTGGCTGTAGAATAATTAGCACTCCACCCTCCACATGCCAGGAGCATTGTCTTGTCATACCCATTCAAGCCAACCTGTAACTGAATGATTAGCTGTGCTAATGTTAGCCAAACAGAGCAGTTTCTTACATTTAGACTAGCCTTGTACCCTAAATTTAAATTCCAGCATACACTGCCCTCCTAAGGCTTTTTTTGTGTGTGTAATGCTCTGCAATCTGTGACGGCAGTTTAACAGAAAGCAGTTTCTGTGCTTTTGACACAATGGAAAATTATAGTCTTGTTTTCTTTGTGTCCCAGTGTAAAATGCAACTTGGTTAACAAGTGAATGCATTACTCTCCAAAAAGAAATTCAGTTTATGCCCAGTCATGCAGCTCTACTGCTAGCCTACGTGTTGAGAATATTGAACTCTTGCCTAAATATATTGTTTGTTGTGTATTGTTTGACCCAGAGGCTCTCTCAGCCATGTCCAAAAGATACACATACACTCTGTGGGTGGAGCTTACTGCCTTTGCTGTCCAGTGGACACTGTTCACTGTTCCCTCCCTTCATGTAATGCGTGTGATTTACTGCATGCTGGAGTGTGTGTGTGTGTGTGTGTGTGCCTGCGCGTGGTAGATAATAGACATTGTGCATCACATTTCTCAGTACTGTTGAAATGCAGAAATGGTAGTCACAGGCTTGGCCACCTTAAAAATCAATATTGACAAAGGATGAAGGTGTTAAAATCAACTGAGCCTTTTTTTGAATTCGTAAAAGTATCACAATAAAATACTTTCTCAGACATTTTTTCAGCTCGCACGTCTGACTTGTACTTGAAGCATAGTTGCACATTTTTGCCACAGCCGATGCATCTTTTTCTGCACAGTCGATGGATTGTTGAATGCACAGAGTGGGTGACTTGGGGAAATTGGATCTTTACTCTCAGCAGCTCTCCTGTCCCTGATTCACTCTGGTAGCAGCGCTGTCATTTTTTTTCTCTCTGAATTATACATAGGGATTTTTTTTTTTTTAATTTTTCCCCTTTCATATGAAGTGTTCCCATATTACATAACCCTTGTCTTTTTGATTCTGTGGTTTCGGCCTGGTCGGTTTAGCCTCAGCAAGTGATGCTCTGCAACTGCATTAAGTGTCACCGTCCTGCGAGGTAGCGTCCCCTGATTCTGGCAGCCAGTCTCTGCTCCTCTCACACACTCACTCTCTCCCTCTGTGTCTTTTGATCCCTTTACCTCTCCTTTCCTCCGAGCTCATTGCGATGCACATGTTCTGCAGTCTGAGTGACCTTCAGAATACGTTTCATCTGTTCCCACTTCTCACCTTCTCATCGCCTGCCTGTACACACATACTGCCCCTGATGATTAAAAAAAACACTTCTTTCTCTGGGTTGGAGTTTATTTATTTAGATCATCCCCTTTCAAACCTCTCATGGAGACAGCCATGACATATTAAAGAGGATGAAAGAAGGGTGTGTCAAAGTGTGATTTACTTAGTCCAGAGTGTCAGAGGTTGTGTTTTACCAGCAAAAGAAGGAAAAAAAGAGCAGGAATTTGTGCTAGTGTGCAGAGTTTAGTGAGAACAGTGATATATGCATGCTAGTGTGAGAAAATGGGATAAATTACGTGCTGGCATGATTGTGTTAATGTGTCTTTGTATGTATGTCTCGACTCCTCTCTGTAAATGTGAGTTGGTCCTGTGAATACTGCAGCCTCAGCTGGATGCAGTGGATCAGCTGCTTCCTCCATCCCCATCTCATTTCTCTTCTGTCATCCTCTCCCCCCTTGTACTGTCCGCCCCTCCCCCCCATTCTCTTTGCTTCTCCCGCCCTCCCTCTTTCTCTGTGCACCTCTACCTCCAGCAGCAGCAGTCTTGAGCATCCTTGCTGCTGCTGCTGTTGCTGCTGCTATAAATATCTGCTGGTAGCCGTAGAGCAGCAGAGAGCAGCAGGCAGGCCAGAGGGAGGAGCAGAGGACAGGACGGCATAGGACGGGGGGGGGAAACGAATTGAAGCAGAGAGGATAACGAGATGACAGGCGATTGAGCCCGAACAAGAAGACTGGGAGAAATGAGGAGAGGGGAGCTGACCAGTTAACTCTAAGACAGACCAGAATGTGTGCTTTCGTGTGCACTGAATTGTACAGTTTTAAAGGTTGGCCTGTGCTGGACTTGGAATCAGATTCAGGCCTAAACTTCACCTGGACTATTCAAACTGCTTCTGGAGCTGGATTGGCTTGAGCTGAGTTAAGACTAAGACTCAACAGTCAAAACTGGAGCCGGACCGTCCTTTCTGATCTCAGATACCCAAACTTTTCATACAAGGGACCCAAGAAAACCCCATCGAAGCTGCTGGCTGTCTAGTTTTGTGCGGACATGCAGGCCATCAAGGGCCGGGGTGGGGCTGAGATGTCATGCTCCTGTGTTGCTGGTGGTGCCTGAGGCCTGAGGCGGTGGAGCTGGATGGCAGGAGGGTGGACCACCGAGTGTTGAACTGCGAGGCAACTGCCTCCACCGCCATCGCAGCAGTTTCCCTTGACCAGTGGGAGCCAGAAACGGCCAACACTGCTTTATCGAGCTCCCAGAGGTCTGCTGATTGCTGCAGCTGGGCAAGCCTATCTTAAGGCTCTTAATAATTGTTTAGGAAGCTGTAAAGAGAGGGGATGAAATAGTGAAGCTGTGTACCTTCTAGTCTTTGTAAAGTTTTGTTTGTTAAAAACTTTAATTTGATTTAGTGTAGATGTTGTCTGTTAGTATTAGATTTCTCTGTTCGTCAGTGTTCATGACTTTCCACAAACGACCCTGTTTAATCTCTCAATGTCTGTATGTTGATTGTACAGTGTGAAGAATTCGAGCTATAGTCTACCATCCTACCACCCTTACAGCAACAGTTATGACTACTCGGACCAGAGCAGGCAGAGCGAGCGCTCAGGCTTGTGTGGACTCTCAAACCTGGGCAACACCTGTTTCATGAACTCTGCTGTGCAGGTAATCTTTTCGTGGAGCTCTTTAGAGTCTGGAACTATGCTAATTAGCACGCCAATGTTTACTCAAAATTCTACAGAGAAAACTTCAAAAAAAAAAAAAAAAATCCAGTTAATTTGAAAGATATTTTTCTCTCCTGTTTTTGCGTTTTAGTGTTTAAGCAATACCCCTCCGCTGACGGAGTACTTCCTCAAAGACAAGTACACAGATGAGCTGAATGAGGACAATCCACTGGGCATGAAGGGGGAGATTGCCAAAGCCTACGCGGAGCTTATTAAACAGCTGTGGTCAGGCAAATACAGCTACGTCACCCCAAGGCCTTTCAAGGTAATTCCTTGGAAAAAATATATTAAATGTGTGAAGGAACCTTCATCTTTGAATCTTCACATGTGTTAAAAAACTATTTTTGATCAATGTTGGACAGATGAAGACTTGCATCAATCTGTAGGAGCTAATAATCTCATGATGGCACTCCCCAATGAAATACATAAACAGACATGGACATTGTATGGCCGCCGGCCACATCCAGTTTTTCTCCTTGGCTCTGGATGAGAGCTGCAACACAACAGAGTTATTATGTTTGTAAGTGAGATAACGAAAGACTTTGAGCTGGCAGCAGTGCACTCAGTGAAAGAGACAGACAGGGAGGGATTTGTTCACTGTCGAAATTTGACAAGGACAAATGTCAGATTTAAGTTAAAGTGATTGAAAGTGGTACTTCTGCATTGTGTTAAACACCAGGAGCTGTCGTGTAAGCCAGTGCTGAAAATGAACCATGTTGTTGTTAATTAAAATAGTTTTCTAGTATAAACAGTTTTAATAACTTCATCAGAGTCGCAGACTTTCTACAGATAAGGAGACATGCTCAAAGATGTAAGTTCTCTTTGAATTGAAGTTTATCGAAATTGAAATTTGACGAAGTTTAACATCCAGGTACAGCTCCTCAGTTAGTCACATTTAGACCTCATATACACTAACCGTGACTTTAATGCACTTGTTCAGGCCCAAAACAGACTAGATTTTTCTCACTCAGATGAAGTAATTAATCTACAAGCAAAATAGAAACAGCACTTTGTATGAAGTTAAAGATTTTGAAATTGCTTCTGGGAATGTTGATTTAATAGTGATAAAATGTTGGTGTTTTTAACTATGCCTTTTTCATATTTTTATTAGCTAATTGCAACAGCTAGTCTTAATCTTATTTCTGAGCGTATAAAGGTTAAAACCATTTCAGTTTAAGACCTATGGGCTACAGAATAGAGAACATGGACATCTTATATTATTTTGAAAGAAACCGCTTACTCAGTGTGATGTATTATGATGAGGCCGACATGATTTTGCTCCTCTACCCATGTGTTTTTTCCAAAAAGTATGTTTGTTTTTTTTCTCCCCTCCCCACTCATCCAGACCCAGGTGGGCCGCTTTGCTCCCCAGTTCTCGGGCTACCAGCAGCAGGACTCTCATGAGCTTCTGGCTTTCCTTTTGGATGGCCTACATGAGGACTTGAACCGCATCAGAAAGAAGCCCTACATTCAGCTCAAGGATGCAAATGGTCGGCCTGATAAGGTGAGACCAGCGGCTCATGAATGGATTGATAAAAGTAAAAAAAGAAAAAAAAGATTTCTTTTATTTATTTAGTTACATTTTATTAAATTTTTGTGTATACCTGTTTTTTGTTTTTGTTTTTTATGCCAGGTTGTGGCAGAGGAGGCGTGGGAGAACCACATTAAGAGAAATGACTCCATTATTGTGGACATCTTCCACGGTCTTTTCAAGTCGACTCTGGTGTGTCCTGTGTGCTCGAAGGTCTCTGTGACCTTTGATCCTTTCTGCTACTTGACCCTGCCACTGCCCATGAAGAAGGAACGGACACTAGAAGTTTATTTAGTCAGACTGGACCCTCTGGCCAAACCCACACAGGTAACAAGCTGAGCACAGAGAGGAAAAAAAATGACTACTGTAAGCAGTATCATGCCATATCATGTATGAACAGCAGGCAGTAATCATGTTTTTGTTTTTTTTCCCCTCAGTACAAACTAACTGTGCCGAAAGTGGGCTACATTTCTGACCTGTGTACCTCCCTGTCCAACCTGTCAGGCGTGCCTGCTGAAAAGGTAGAATATTTAGCATCAGCCTGCGCAGGAATCCTGCCTCTGTTATCATGTTGTAATGCTGACATCTACTTTTTAATAGACGTTGTCCTCTGAGCTACAGAAGCTAGTGAGGGGAAATGTTGCATATTTTTCAGATAAAGGGAGAGGTGAGGAACAGGGACACAAAGGATAACTAGAGACCAAGGGAACTGGAATTCAATATGTATGAACCTGCTATTATGCTGTTACACTACATGTTGCACAGACAGAATAGCAAAGCTGCCACACTAATCAGTGTGGTCGTTTATTTTCTTGTAGGTCTGTTTTAGGTTATTCATTTTTTTCTCTACACGACTTCTCTCTGTGTGGTTCGTCAAGGTCACAAAGTGAGATAACACGCAAGGGAAATGAGTCAAAATGAGTCAAAAATCACATTGTATTTCCTCCATATAGGCTTAATTAAGCCTGGTCTTTCAGATCCGGGTTGCGTTTACAGCAGTGTATCCTACTGTCACTCAAAGCCTGCGCCATCCTGAAGTACTAGTAAAACAAACCCCAGAAACAGGGCTTTGGAAGTATCCCTAGTTCCTGCAGTGCAGATACAAAAGAAAGGTGCTTTTTTTATTTTATTTTTTTTTATTTTTATTTTTTTCTTGCAGAGGTTAAGAGGACTATGAAAGAATTTAAACTATGAAAAAGATCATTTCAAATACAGGCTGGTTAATTAAGTTCTAAAAAGTTTTTTCTCATGAATTGAAGTTATGTTGCCCGTCATCTTAAGCTCGTTTTACCAATCTACTAAATGGCTTTTTAAGATGTGTTGGCAGATTAATTTAATTGCTGGCCATAATTAGGATTCTCAGCACTGACTCTCCCGTCTCTTATCCTTCAGATGATTGTAACTGACATCTATAACCACCGTTTCCACCGGATCTTCGCCACCAATGAAAACCTCAGCAGCATTATGGAGAGAGATGATATTTATGTGTGAGTGTCAGATATGAGCAGCTGACAGACAACACGTCTGCAGATTATGTAGATATAACAAACTGCAGGCATGTGCCATTTTCAAAAACGTAGTTTTTTGTTGTTGTTTTTTTTTTTTCGTTTTTGTTTTTTACACTAGGATGCTGAGTTTCACTTTTCATTGGTTTGTCGACATCTTGCTTAACCAGCGTGACTCTAAAGGATTCACCACATGTCTCTCTGCAGCTTTGAGGTGGCGGTGAACAGAGTGGAGGACACAGACCACGTAGTGATCCCAGTGCACTTGAGAGAAAAGTACAAGCAGTCAGGATATAACCACACGAGCACGCCGCTGTTTGGACAACCCTTCCTCATCGCCGTCCCCAGAACCCTCAGTGAAGACAAGCTCTACAACATGCTGCTCCAGCGCCTCTGGTAAGTCAGCAAAAATCGACAGGCTCTTTTTGCAGATAATCAACGCTGTGTCGTTTAGAAATAGAAAATAAAAACAAAAACTTGTGCTTGGAATAAAAAGTGGTTTTGTGTTTGCAGTCGGTTTGTGCGATCTTCTGTAGAGGAAGAAGAGGACGACTGTGAAGAGACACAGCCATCTAAACAACACACTGTTAATGGTAATGCCACTAATGGACTGTTGGAGGAGGGGTCACCGAGTAAGTGCACCAACACAGTTTTCTTGTAAAGTTCTGACCTTTTGAAATGCTTTTTTTTTTTTTTTTCTTTTTTTTTTAAAAAAGTGTGCTGCTTAGTGTTTGCTGTTAAAAACTCTACTGCCGTCTTTCAGGTGAGATGGAGACCGATGAGCAGGACGACGAGTCCAGCCAGGATCAGGAGCTGCCCTCTGAAAACGACAACAGCCAGTCGGAGGACTCTGTCGGTGGGGACAATGAGCTTGAGAACGGTGTGGTCGGCCCACAGAATTCCACCAGAGGCCAGCAGACGTCCGGACACAGCAGGAAGAGACTTTTTACATTCCAGTTCAATAACATGGGAAAAACGGACTTCTCACTCATCAAGGAGGACACCAGGCAGATCCGCTTTGACGAGGGACACCTCCGACTTAGTGGTAGGAAGCGGGCTTTACTGTTTTTTTTTTTAGCATCATTGAAATGGGAAATAGAAAAGTTTTTTTTTTTTTTTTGGTTTTCCTCGATCATGTAATCACAGCATTAATCAATAAATGAAGTCATTTTAACTGCTGTAAATATTACAGCATATTTACATTCTGCCCATCTTTTTACAGACCGCTCTTATCTCTCCTTGGACTGGGAACCAGAAATCAAGAAGAAGTATTTTGACGAGACTGTTGTTGAGGTAAAACTGATGTCGGGAGCTGCGACATTGTCTGTTTTCACGGTGTAACTGTTGTAGTGCAGCTCGATCACATTTTTAGCAAGACGCTGAGCAGTGTGGAACATAATCATGTAGTGATAACTGCACAGAGAAGAGCAGCAGGAAACCGAGGTGACTATTCCAAATGTCTTCTAATCAAGAGCCCACAGGTTTGAAACTCTAGATCTACTCACTAGATGATGCCGTGAATAAGCTCATCTAAGTGTTAAAGTAATCTGTAAATATTACCTCTTACTCCACGCATTTTAATCTGAAGGAAAGGAACTGAGTAGGGATGGCTACGATAACTTTGTATTAAACAGTGCCAGGGCTAAATTTATTTAACGGTAATTATGTAATGGTATGGACAAGCTCCAGCGCCATCATTTCTGCTCTTGCTGCTGGAGAAATTGAAATGGTCTATTTTCTACTTGTTACTCCAGAATCAATCTGGAAAACTATTGGCCAGTGTTTTGGGGCTCACAGTGTAACTGGTGAACACCTGGTCCAAACCATTCTCTCCTGTTCACTAGTTAATGTTTTTAAATGCAGATTTTATTTATTTATTTTATTTGCTTTTCAGGTTGCATTTGGGTACATTCAATCTCTGATTCTGCGTTTACTTACTGTTTACCAATCAAACCCTCCTTATATGCTCCTGTCTAAAGAACTTGGACTACAAACTGAAACCAAACTGTTTTCACTGCCAGAAAGAGTCTTATTGTCTGTATGGAGTTAACCTATACTACTAGTAATGATAGTAGAAAGGACACTTCACCAGTCTGTGATGGCACTTTCATGTAAGGGTTCAAACATAACCAATGTGTCTTAACTTTGCACAGTTTTCACAGCTTTTGACAGCCTAGCTTGCAGTTCATCTCTAGTTGCTCCACATATGTGATGCAACCAAGAGTCTACAGATTTACAAGTTGTTTTTGTTGTTGTAATTGTGCTATGTAATTGTAATGTGTTTTAGGATTATGATGATTAGGATTATTAGATAATGGTGTGAAACACTGTTTATAACAGTTTAATTTATATTACATGTACATTAATTCTTTTTGGTTTTTCTCTTAAAACCTATTATAATATTAATTAATATTATAGTTGAAGTACCTTAAGCAGTACTGTTGAGATTAACAGTTGAGGTCTTGACAACACTTATCTCTAACTGTACTTTTAAACGGCTTCTTTCAAAGTTAAATGTTCTCTTTTGCCACAGATTTTAATTCATGTCATTTCAGACAACTAATTCAGAACTGTTTTACTCTAACAACTATATGCTCGTGTCTCTGGGAGCAGGACTGTGACAAGCACGAGAGCATGGAGTACAAACCTCAAAAAAAGGCTTTCTTCAAGCTGAAGGACTGCATCGAACTGTTCACCACAAAGGAAAAACTGGGGGCAGAGGACCCTTGGTGAGAAGCAGTGAAAACAATTCAAAACACTAGTTGTTGATGTCTGGCTGGTTACAGCACCTAAAAGGTGATGTATCTTCTCACAGGTACTGTCCCAACTGTAAGCAGCACCAGCAGGCCACAAAGAAGCTGGACCTGTGGTCTCTGCCACCAGTGCTGGTGGTCCATCTTAAACGCTTCTCATACAGTCGCTACATGAGGGATAAACTGGACTCGCTTGTTGACTTCCCGCTCAGGTAGGCGCGCGCACGCACGCACGCACGCACGCACACACACACACACACACACACACACACATTCACAGGGCACTGCCTTTTTAGCAGTTTATCCAGTGTATATCCTGCTCATTCTTTTCAAAATCTACAGTGTGTGTGTATGTGAACACTCACAATATACCCTTGATGAGTTAATGACAAGCTGCTTTGTTGTTGTGTGATAGATGATTGGGGTTGCTGCATAATTTTTTTTATGTAATGTATTGTAGTCAACTCAAAGTATTTTTTTTGAGGGAGGAAAAAACCCAACAGCAAATGATTGTTTCCCAAAAAGGTAGGACAAACATGGCATGTGCTCAAGGACATCAGTGTTGACACAAGTTGTGTGTATTTCTGCTGTAAGGCAAACAGGTGAATTGTGAGTCTGTCTTTTGACGCTTCAGCTTTCAGTTATTAAAGCGCATAATTTAAATGTTTAATTTGTTGTTTTTCTGAATAAATTTTGCTACACTTTGATTTGTGAGTATTATATTGTGATCGCTATAATACACAAGATGTGAAAATTGGTATCTGAAAATTTAAATAAGTCATATTTTATGAACTTTCCAAAAAACCTTCAAATTATTTTCATTATTTTGTTTTTAGATGGTTTTTTTGCATATTTAAATCAGTCAGATTTCAATGTTGGTCTGAAACATGTCGGTGTGATAAATATGGGAAAAGCGTAAGAAGAAATGCAGGGTCTGATCCTGATTTACAACACTGTACATGCTACATGTTTCTACCTTCATCACAAACACACCACGCTGAACGTGTGCAATGACGGCTTGTTTCGTGTTTGTTCCCAGAGATCTGGACATGTCTGAATTCCTGATCAACCCCAATGCCGGGCCCTGTCGCTACGACCTCATTGCTGTGTCCAATCACTATGGTGGGATGGGAGGGGGCCACTGTAAGACTCAAACTCATGCAACCATGTATCTTTTTTCTTTTTTTCCTTTTTTTTAAATTAGGATTTATAATGTTCCCGGATTTAATTTCAACCCCATGAAAGGTCACTGGTAGAAAGAAGAATGTTCTTGTGGCCTCTGAGTAACCAGACAGTTTAAATCTGGCTTGTTGTGAATCTGTAAACTGTAGAATCTCTTTATTAGTTAGTAATGCTGTTAGAAGTCGCAAATTGCTTTTATAACATAAGAGCCAAGCAGTGGGAGTATATAAAATGACACACAGAAAGGGAAACATGGTGAAACGGGGCTCTAACTAATGGAAATTTTCATGACTACAGGATTTCCAACAGAAAAATAAATGTAATCAGAGCGGTAACTCTTTTTGTTAAAATCGATACGTCTCCCACACAGTTTTTGGCATTGCCACGTTTCTACTCTTCAAATCAAAGCTTCGATTTGGTGCATAAACTCTTACAAATTTCCTTTTGAATGACTAGATGATTAATCATTGAGTAATTTCTGCTCTAATTGCTGTGTTTTCCTGTCTTTTAATCTTGTGTTTGTTACTTTTCAGATACTGGTTATGCTAAAAACAAAGACGATGGAAAGTGGTACAACTTTGATGACAGCAGCGTGTCTCCTGCCAGCGAAGATCAAATAGTGGTGAGTGTCCTCATTTGTAAAAGCCACAGACAGCAGGTCCTACTGCATTTTTATTAAAGGCAGACTTGCTGGGCAAATAAAATGAATTATGTCATCAGAGTAATGCACGTATGTGCACTGTAATGAGGATGAGTTATGTAGTTGTCACACGGCCTGAGTTCTCCAAGGCATCAAACTGTGCTGAGACCCCAAAAGGTTGATTCTGTTCATCTGGACGTAACATTTTCAGTGGTTTCTCCCACTGAAATGCTACGTCCAGATGAACAGAATCAACCTTTTGGGATTTACTTACCTGGATGATTGAGCATGCATCATGACAACTGTGCTGAGATTTCCCAAAAAGTAAGTGTGGGTGTGTGGTACAGAGAGCTCTCTGTTCTGTGGTGGGGAGGATGATTGAAGCCAGACAGGTAAACCCTCACGGAGATGTTTTCGTGCATAGAGAGCGTTTATAAAGGCTTTCACATCTTGGAGGCAAACTGAACTTCAGATGTTCTGGAGGAGATTTAGCGAGCTCATTAAAAAACATCGAGAATGTACAGTTGTTCTAATTGTTGTTGTGTTTTGTTTTGGGGTTTTTTTTTTTAATAGGACTGAATGTAATATTAGGGACTACTTTCAGTAACAGATTAATACCATGGGTTTAAATGAAAGATTGCTGTTGTCTGCTGATTTGTGGACTACTGTTCTGCAGACACATTTGACCATGGTCAGTGGTGATGGTGTTAACTTATCAGCCAAGGCTGTTTGGCATGTTCATTTGACAAACTGCACGAGTGTTCACACAGCTACATGCGACAGCTACAGAATAAAATCACTTCTCAGGCATCTGCTAGTGCCGCTAAGTGCATGTGCATGCCACGTTGTTGGCCATATTATTAAATTAAAAATATTGAACATGTAAAACACGGCCACACTGATAAAGATGTGGCACAGCAGATGGTTACATGTATTCAAAGCACACACTTAATAATGGAAACTATATGACTTAGTACAATGTAAAATGGCGAATCCCGTTAAAGGAAAAAAATCCAGACCCTGTACAGCTGTGATGATGCAGAGACAAAAGCAGTTTTATACTAGTCTGTAAGGACTGTGACCTGCTGTTCAAGTGAGCCTCAAGTGGTCAATAAAGGGAACTGCATTTATCTGCACTAAGCATTATCTTCATTTTTTAGACCTGGATGCTTCCATTGAAAAGAGATTTGGTGGTCTAGTGAATATTTATACAGCCCGCTTTTCCAGTTTATAAAAATCTTTAGTGACTGCATTTCTCATTGTTTCTCAAAGGAAAACAAAAAGGAAAAGTTGGTAAAAGTCCGTTTTCTAAGGTGAGCCTGACTCCATCATGTCAGTGTAGCTGAGTGACGCTGTTTCCTGTTTTGTTTCCGTCTCTCTCTGTAGTCCAAAGCAGCCTATGTGCTGTTCTACCAGCGCCAGGACACAGTGAAAGGCACCGGCTACTTTGCTCTCGACCGAGAGGAGGAGGAAGAGGAGGAGGAAGATGAAGAAGAGGAAGGGGAGGATGAGGAGAACGAGGGCGAGGAGAGGAGGGAGAGAAAAACCGCCTTGTCCGCTCAGGGAGGCTTGTCTGCTGCCGCTGCCGCCGCTGTTCAAAGCGACGACGAGGACCCTAATGAGAACCAGTGCAGGAAGAACGACGAAGAGCAGGAAGACGAGGAGGAAGAGGAGGCGGCGGAACAGGCGCCCAATCGAGACGTCGCCATGAAAACCAACTGAGGGAATCGAGGACATGAATATATATAGAGAGAATGGGATCTTTCCATCCAAAGCCATACGGACACACGGCGTGACAGCGGGCGCCACTGGTCCCACCCAGCGGCTCGGACTTAGCTGCTCGACAGGAAGAACCACTGCGGAGACATCAGCTGTTGGGTCAGGGGGCTACAGGGGTACGCAACTCTTAAGAAATCAGGGCCCTCCTCTGTGGTTGGATCACTGTGTGTGTTTGTGTGTGTGTGCGTGTGTGGCCACGTTGTTTGTTTAGAATTTGCTCACTTGCTCTCTGAGAAGAGTCACTAAACAGCCGGGATCTTTGTTTTTTTTTTTTTTTTTTTTTTACAGCTTTGAATCTCAGTTTTATTATTATTTTTTTTAAAGTACATATCTTTAAGAGGAATGCATTTTTGGCATATCATTTTAGCATCATCGTTTAGATTTTGTAAATATTTTAAACACTGAATTGTACCGAGTTTTCATGATGCGCTGAAACATTTTTGAACTTGCACAATCACCAACCATCCGCCCCGCTTTTCTTTCCTTTTTTTAAAATTTTAAATGTATCGATGCCAGACATACTGCAACTTTGTGTCAGTTTTCTCACATACAGAGCTTAGGAAGCTGCCTTTAGAAAGCCAGTGCTGAGACGCCACTACACTAAGAAATAATGTTGAGAACTGACAGTCGTTGCTGTGTGGGTTTTTTTCTTTTTTTAAATAGCCATCCAGCCGAGCTAGCTCTGTCATGCTGCTGCGATCTTAGATTTTTACACATGATTAACATACTGGCATGAGCCTTGGAGAACTTAAGATCCTGCTTTTGCTCTGTCTATAGTCCTCTCTGTTTATAATTCTTCAGTAAAGCAGGACTGAGATATTGCGTGGCTAACTTTACAAAGAAACCACACTGCATCTCTCCATATTTTAAATATTAGGAAATGCTCTTTTAGAAGTTTATATCCGGAAGTCAAACCTATATGTAGTGAAGTGGTGTTTAAGGAGTTAGCAGAGATTCTTTACTCCTCTTCACCCGCTCCTGAAGTTGTACTTCATTAGATGGTATTTAAAGCTTTATTGTGGCTACGTTCTTAAGATTTTAGGCACTTTGAGATTAGGGACATCGGTGATTTCATTGTCTCTTGTTTGAATCGCCTCGGCCTTAACTCTTAATCTCAGACCAGTCGCCTTTTCTTTGCACACGGCCGTCACACCATCTCTCGATATTACGCGAGCACTCGTCTATGAATGTCCATGTTACTTGCTTGATATCTCCCAGCCACGTCACACCAGTTTCTTTTAACCCACAAGAGGGCCAGAATGTATGCTGAATGAACCAGACCACATGTATGTGACTGATGCCTTTTAAGTCATCCTTTCTTTCTTTCACTTCTCCCCATGGCCCTTTCGAGTTTGAAAGGTGATGGAAATGGGTGTTCTTTGCATTTTATATTACCTGTATGAATTTCATGGGTATTAGCTGAATGCGTCCCTTTTTTGTGGTCCTGAGCTTTGAGGAGGAGAGAGGGAGACAAAACTTAAAAAAAACAAAAACAAAAAAACATTTTGGGGTGAGTGTGCCTAAAAGGCCTTTCAGCTTCTCGGGATCATGATACAGTGAAAATATTTTGTGGCACATCGTTGGCAGGATATTCCTCCATCGACGTAACTCGCGGTAAAACTCTATTCTCCATGGTGGAGTGCGATGTTTTCTTTTCTACCTGCTCTTTCCATTGTAAACAGCATTAGCGGATCTGTTGTTGCCTCAGAATATTAGATGTGTAACATGCCTTTAAGAGCATCTCTGTGCTTCGACTTCAGGTGGCTTTACCGCCTCAGTGCTGCCTTGCTTTTTGGGCAACTCACCCCATCCTGAGTGAGATGTGATTGCTACTATAGGCTTATACAATACTGTACATAAGAGTTCACTCTGTGAGTGCACATTTGATAAAATTTATTTATTTATATGTAAGCATTTAATAATAAACAATATATTTAAAACCTTGGCAAGACGTGAAATGTCAGGGGTAACGTGGCTCGAGTCCACACATACACACTAGTTTGCAGAGTCTTGCCTGTGCTCTCGTCAGGGAGGGAATATTTTTTAAACAAAGGATGATTCTGTTTTGGGACTTTTTTTGTAAAGATAATCCAGACATCCTTGCATGATGATGTATGGGGTGAGGGTGTGGGTGAGGGTGGGGGTGGGGAGTTACCAGGTTTGGCTGCACTTGAGTTCACTTGGGTTTACATTTGAAATGTGCATGTGTATTTATACACAATCTTCAATAAAGTTGTGTAAAGCTTCCTGTGCTTCGGCCTGGTGGTTCACTTTCTTGACCAGCTTCCATAGCTGCCCCACATCTTTGACTGTATTATTTTATAAATAAGAACAATAATAAAATACAAATCTGTTTGTATCCTTTGCGTAACATAGTTGTCAAATTACCAGATACTTCAGATTCTGGACTGAAATGTATAAAATAACAGGTTTATTTATTCAATACTGTGATTGGTACACATTCTGTTTAGAATTCACATTTATATAGATATTTTACATAGAGATGTAAATGTGTATCACAAACACAATCCAACTCCTCTAAACACATCACCTTTTCCTTCTTTGGGTTTTCTAAATACATTTTGAAATTATAATTAATGCAATGCTGCTACGCTTTGGATAAAAAAAATGGCATTTTAAAAATGTGCAGCATTGAAAGCTGCTCTGGTAGAATAAAAATATGAATCTGAATATTAGCACAACAGGTCGCCTTTAACATCTATGGTCAGGAAAGCATGCTCGGCTCATATCCCAGCAGTAAGTGATCTCACTGGCGTTCCCTAAAGAAGGTGAACATCGCTATGAGCCATATAAAGGAAGGCTGTCATGCTTCCCTTTGTTTGATCTTCTGCTCTCCATCTCCTAGTATGATCTGTGAGCAGGAACACGGTGTTCTCTCCCCGGTTCCTCCGGGTTATCCGGCCGCTTACAGCCAAGGCGGTTCTACCGAGAAGAGGCTCGTCCTTCTGACCAATAGGAGAGAGGAGGAGGATCGGCTGTGAGCAAAGCGCCTCACTCCGTCAGAGAAAAGAGAAACCCAAAGAGAAACGTGCTTTGCTTGTTAAGATTGGACGTTAGAACGCACTGACATTAAAGGAGGCTATGAATGACAGGGATGGATAGTCTGAAATCTCTCTCACGAGCATAAAGTTTTAATTTTTCTGGCACTTCACATTTTTAATAGACGACGGCTACAGTCCGGCACATCTTTAAAAACGCCTTCGTCTGTGTTTTACCAGCTGGTGGCGCCCTCTGCCAGTGTGCCCTCTCCTGCTGGTGTTTGGTAAAGCAGTCAGAGGTGGACCTCTGCGTTTTCTCCAATCTCTGGTCGTGGCTACACCCGTCCTGACGTTCCCCGCGAATTTTATCCACGGCGCTCCGCCACATCCACTCATTTTATTTGATTTTTTTTAGTTGGGGGGAGGGGACGCACACACTACCTGACGTGCTGTCGGAGGCAGAATGGTTAGAGCAAAGCGGGTCTCCTGTTTGGATTCGTACGGCTTTCTGCCCTTTAAACCGCGCTGATGTGATGGCTGGACAACTTTGTGCTCACTGCGCGGAGACCGAAGCAGACAACAATAGGCTCTAATGCAGCCTGCTGCAGTTCGGCTGCAAGGTGAAGGTCCGTGTGAAGAGCCCGTGGATCGTTTGCGTTTTCTCAGATCCAACAAGTCCGGCAAGGTAAAAATTTAAACAGAATTACAGGAAGTGTTCTCACTTTTAGGTAATCTCTTTCTTTCAAATACCCCCCCCCCCCCCCCCCAAAACAAAATGTGTTGCTCTCAGAGCAAAAAAAAATATATATTTTCGGGGGTAAATGGTTAGTATCGTGGTTTGTGGTGATTTGTGCCTGAATATGTTTTTATATAGCGTGCAGTCACCCATATTGTTCTAATTAAAACAAGATTTAAAAGCAGGATTTCGTGTTTCTCTCTCTCTCTCTCTCCTTTTTTTTAATTTTTTTTTTTTATACATGAATGGCACCGTGCCACTCCACGCGCTTCGCCGCCCTTACCTGCCACATTTTCCCTCTCTATTTGCTCTTTTTCTTACCACCGAGGTCAACCGAGGAGAGCGTGTGTGCAGGAGATATGGGAAATGTACGGGAGGTGTTTTTTTTCCCCCTCCTTTCCTACTATGGGTGGGGTTTTGTCTCGCTTTATTGCGGCCCCGTTTTAGGCGTGCGCCATTTTCCGTGCGCTTTTACGCACGGGGACACCAATAAAACTGATAGTCTGATTAAATCTGGAACCAAGAGATTTTCCACAGAAAAGCGCATCCCTGGTGCCAAGTTCTGGCTGAGGTAGTAGTTTGTGCTGTTGGTCGGGTTGTCATATTACCCCTTGCGGAGATGACTGCGCAATCTACTGCCTTGCCGGCGCTGGTGACTTGCAACGAGGGAGCCAACCGGATCGACATAAAAGCCTAAACCCCACTTTACATCGTTCAGAAAAAGAAGTGATGGAATAAAGAAAAAGAAAACGCATGCTTTCAAGAAAATTCAAATACTTGTGTGTGATATAAATGTTAACATTTCTTGAAATAAAGTATTTTTTCCAAAGCTTGCATCACGTGCATTTGTGTATATCTGATTCCAAATCTTGTTATAATTAATGTTCTGCTTAAACATTCTTATTTCTCACGGGGGTGGGGTGTTAAAGCAAAGATGGAATTAAAGATGCCAGTCCCATTAAGTGTCTTAGCAAGCATTTATGGTAACCTAGTGCTGTACCATATTATAAATTGTGTTATAGCTCCAATGCAAAGTAGATATAGGGCCAATTTTGCCGATACCAGTGCTGATACTCGTACTCCCTTAAGAGAACATATAACCCCAATTCTTCATCAGCTTCACTGGTTGCCCATAGAAGCTAGGATAAACTTTAAAATTTTAGTTCTCACATTTAAGTGCATCCATAACCTTGCCCCTCCTTATCTGTGCGATCTGCTTCATATTACCACTGCTTCCTGCTCTCTCAGATCTTCATCTGCCATTCATCTTGTTCTTTCTGCTCGTCTTGTCACTACGGGGAACAGAGTGTTCAGTCGCACTGCTCCTCTGCTCTGGAATTCACTTCCTCCAGTCATAAGAAATATAGATTCCCTTCCCTTATTTAAGTCACAGCTTAAAGCATACTTGTTTAAACTGGCTTGCTCGCTTTAATACAGATCTTACCTTTAAAAAAATTGTTTATTTTTTGTATTTTATAATAATCTACTGTTTTATTAATATCTTTCTTCTCTTTGTAAGGTGACATTGGGTTTTAAAAAGGCGCTCTCAAATAAAATGTATTTCTGCTCTTCATGTATTTTAAAACATTTATTTATTTATTTTTTTTGGGGGGGGGCAGCTTCTGTTTAAATGTGCTGTATGTATGTTACCGGTTCATTCACTGTGTGAAATGGTTGAAACTATTGAAACCCAGTTTTTTGATTGGCTGCCCCTATAAACAGAAGGTTAAATAGCAGGTGGGTGGGGCTTATTGTGGATGTCTGCTTAAACTGACACAGAGGGATGGCCAACAAAGAAAAATGAAACCAAGTGTTAAGAGCACTCTGCCTGAGCCTCTGGCTGACAAGGATTCAGTTCAATTCAGTTTTAGTCACATAGCATCAAATCACAACAGCAGTCTCTTCAAGGTGCTCTATATTGTAAGGTAAAGACCCTAAAATAATACATAGAAAACCATCAATCAAACGATCCCTTAACAGCAAGCACTTGGTGACAGTGGAAAGGAACTCCCACTTGACAGGAAGAAACCTCTGTGGCAGCCGTCTGCATTCATCAGCTTGTGGTGTTGGGAGTGAGATAGGACAAAATACACACTGTGTACGAGAGCTAGAGATGAACAATTATCTGTACATAGGCCGAGTTCATTAAATAAATTGTTAGCCCTGTTTTATATGCACATCCATCCCTGTGACAGTACATGTATGAGAGAACTTTAAAAAGAATATATTTTCTTTAATTTTTTTTTTAACGAATGAAAGGATTTTTATGTATTTTAAAGGGTCACCTAGTGACATGCATTGTAAATTAGTTTAGAATGAAGCTGATGTGTGCCATGGATCATGGTACACTCACTGGACACTTTATTAGTTACACTTTGCTGGTAAAAGCTTGGACCCAATTTTGTCTCCATTCTTCAAGGTACAATTTTATCAAGGTGCTAGAAAATATTCTTCTTATATTTTGGTCCATATTGACACGACAGGATCGCACAGTGGCTGCAGATTTGTCAAATGCACAGCCGTGATGCAAATCCATTGTGCCACATCCCAAAGGTGCTCTGTTGAGGTGACTGTGGAGGCCGTTTGCGTGCAGTGAACTCATTGTTCAAACCATTTTTAAGAAATCTGTTTGAGATGTTTTCCACTTTGTGACAGCGTCATCCTACTGCAAGCAGCCATCACTGTGGTCATAAAAGGATGGATGGTCAGCAACAATGATAAGTAGGCTTTTAAACAATGCTCGGCTGATAGTAAGGGACCCAAAATGTGCCAAGAAAATATTCCCCACACCATTCCACCATCAGCGGCCTGAACTATTGATAAAAGGCAGGGTTTCATGTTGATTGCATGAAAAAAGCTGTTAAAAATGGTAATGTGTGTTTAAAAATATGGCAAATATAAAAAATTTATATTTTTAAAGCAGTACATTGTATAATACTGTAATGGGTTCTTTATTTATTTTACAGTGAAGATGAACATTTTAGTTTCCCCACCTCATTATTTTTATAACCTACTCATCAAGCATGTGCATATTTTTTGGTTTATTTTTTGATTAGCATTCAATCTCTCAATGAATACAGAAGAAAGATATACCACAAAGCAAGAAAGCACCAGATAAGGCTAATCAAAAAGGTACTGGCTGAAGCACATGCTTATTAGGCCAAACCTTTCACTACAAGATTATTCGACAGGCAGCTGGAAGCAACAGAGAAGAATAAAGCGTATATATGTTTTGTAGAGAATTAGCAGCGGTTTTTTGTTTTCACTTTTTTCACTTAGGCAGTCATCAATCATTGCCAATGGTGACAGTATTAAATAAACCACTTACCAGTATATGAATAGTGAGGTCATTCATCCATTTTTTCCCCCACATTTCCTTTGTGGTCACACAGGAAATCAGTTTGTTCTAATGGCCTTTACCCATATTTACCTCATCAACATTATGAATTGTGTCTGAATGATTGTGCACAATCATTGCACTTACGGTTCGCTGTAAAAATAAATAAATAAAACAAAAATGTCTCATCTTGTTTAGCGTTTCCGGCAAAATGTTTGACATTCAGTGAGTAATCTGTATTTCCTCTAATGAATCCCTCCGCTGTCTGCTCTCAGAGCCAAACTAGTCCTTTAGTGTCCAGTTGACCGTGTTTGTTAGTTTCTCCCACAAGCAGAACCAAGGGAATATAAACAGCAACAACACTGATTAGCTCCTCTGGACTCTCTTTTGTTTCTTGCTCGTTGAGATTAATTTGAACTGAGAGTGCAAAGGTTTGGAAAACTATCGATTCTGTTCACATGAATGTTGAGCACAGCTCCATTTGACTCCTTTTCTGTCTTTTTTTTTTTTTTAGTGAGACAAACAACAACTTTAGATTGATCTTCAACATTTATTGTCTCTTTTTTTATTTCTGGAAAAGAAACACTGCAGGTAAACATCACTCCCCCCCAAAAGTCCAAGTGTTGCACAAGGAAACATTAAAAATATTTCTTTTTGACCTCATAAGTTATTTTCACGTTATATAAAATGTGCAGTTCACATTCACAAACAGAGTTTGAGGGTAGCACAATGGTCACTTAAAACGGTTTCCCACTGGGCTTCAAAATTCCTCTTTGCTACAGAAAAAAGAAATCAGCTCTTTGCATCTTTCTAAAACCATTAGTAGTCTTAGGTAGAAAAAAACAACAGCAATGACAAGGTTCACAATACAGCAAATTCAGAAAGCAAGACCTACAGTTGACTGAAGGGACTAAGCTGATCAAGAGCTTCCTGTACACACCAATGCTCTCCCACATATTTACAAATGCAGTGGAACCAAGACCATCACAGAGCACCTCCTGTCTTTAGAAAACCACTCTCAACAGGTCGTTATCGACACATGACAGTTGAACCTGAGTTGATGTGCAGTAGTTGGGTGGCACAATAGGATGAGAAAAATAAAATATATACTCATGTTTCCACATTCGTTTAAGAGAAAAAGGCTTAATGACAATAATAAAGAGCCTAAAGCACAGGTAGAAGGATGAACATTCAAAACACATACTGATGCACACGTCAGATGCTGAAGATCTGGTAGCATCAAAAACATTTACATGGAAAAGTAAAGTATGAAGGGAAAATAACCACTTATTAGAAAAGTTTTTCATTAATTAACAAATGCTAAACACCTAACCGAAGGAAAATATTCCAATACATTATTTAACACTGGAATATTTCGTTAATGGAATGTATAAGAGGGGAAAATGCACCATGCAAAGTTCAGGTAAACATCAATGACTGCTTCTTGGAGGAAAAGGTAGATTATTGTTGTCAGCTGCAAACAATGTGCAAGATAGCATGACAAATAGCATGTGTACATGTATGGTGACACAAAATAATTTTGAGTAATTTGCATGTATGTAGTCTTAGGAAGAATGAAGTGCGATGTTTCAATACTACACTCAGTTCCTACGAGTAAATCTAAACGATACAGCTAGGAGACTATTAGCTTAACTTAGCTTAGTGTAGCATAGAAACAGCTAGCCCAGAAATTGACGTGTAAAGACAGACCTCAACTTTTTAATATGCAAAAAAAAAAAAATAAAAAAAAAAAAAAGAACACAGCAAAACTGGAATTTTTATACTCTGACTTTTTTACAGATCAAAATAATAATATATAGTATCAGTAAAGATCAGCAGTATTTGATTTTCTAGTCTCAGTGCTAAATTAAGCTAGATAGCTGCTAGCTGTAGTTTCATATGCACCATACACACAGGAATAACCAATATTCTTCTCATCCAGCTCAATTATCTGACATCATTCAGGACATTACTTATTAACAATTGACTTCTTTATAGTTGTCACCCTCTTATTACATATTCCAACTTTGCAGTCAACTTTTAAATACACCGGTTTAATTCCAAAACCCCATACATCAACTATGGTGATGTTTAATTTTTCAAAACACATTTTTCTTCTAAAACATATTTGTTTGCTCGCCTCAACAGCTTGGAGTGAAACGTGTCAGTTTTTTCCACCACTTTCCCCCCCTATCTGCAAGTCAAAATTTCATCAAAATTATTCTAAATTTCAAGTTATGTATCTCAAAATTTCAATTTTCTACATACAAATAAAAATTTGGAGATTAAAAAGTTTCTGAAGCACAAACTACTTCATATCTTCTGCAACTTCCTAAAACTAAAACTAAAAAATATGAAACAAATATGGAAAAAAGAGAAAATGATTTGGTTTCATGTATAGCCATTGGTATAGTTTCATCTTGTTCCCTTTCTTTGTGGTTGCTCTCATCCTTTGGGTCTTATGCCAAATGTCTGGAATAATATATAATCAATAATATATGCATGATCGTTGCACATTAACAAATAACATTATCACCAGTTCTCATTCAGTCTATATAAATTCAACAATAATTCAAACCATTGCACCATTGCTCATAATCCCAGGCCTACATTATGCTACTGCATGCACTGACACACAGTCCACTACATCCACTCACGGTAACACATTTTACCCAAACCCGTCCCCCTGAAGGCAACATCATCTGTATTCTGATGAAGCACCTAAAGCAAGAAACATGCAAAAACAAAACAATAAAACAAAAGCTTTCAGATTCAACCTTGATTGTACTTCATGATTTTTCTTTTTAAAACTACAGCTATGAATTATATCAATCCTCCCTGCTGCAGGGAATATTTGCTTCTTCATCGTACCATGGGTCTTCAGTGAGTTATATGGGTTGGCCTAAAGTGCAAATACACTGGTGTACAAGTCATTTAATCTCACGTTAAGACAGTTATTTATAACTTCAAGAGAATTGCCAAACCAAATCCCAAATTTAAAAATGTAAGGATTTTAAATTATATTAAAAAAATATTTATTTTCCAAATCAGTAGATAGAAACCACTTATGACTTATGGCTTAGCCACGCTACAGTAAAAATAGGACCGCAACCTCACTGCAACTAGGAGAGAGAAAAAAAAAAGATGGATAGTAGCCTGGTAAGAAGTTGCGGCAACCAATTGACCACTCAGAGGCAAGCACCATAGAGGTAAACCGGCTATGTTATTTTGCAGTTACATCGCTGTCCTGCAGCAACTGCACCGCTATTTATGGAGGTTTTCTGAATGTAAGTAGTTCATGTAAATGTTGCATGTTGACAGCAACAAATTTGCAACAGGTTTTATCAATGACTGCACACAAAATTCCCAACTTGCACCAATTCAATCTGATGGCAGACTGAACACTTCTTATTAGTGGTTCATCACTATCTTGATGATTCAAAGTCAAGAAAACAGCTGATTGCTAGTGGTCACAGATGTTGTCCCCATCCTCAGAGCAACAATTTTTTTTTTAAAGGTAACAAGATCATTAACTTATTACATAGGGTCACAATCAGTTTGGTTGTGCCACGGTCCCCACCCAAAATATTTCTTATCTTTCGTTAAGCTGAACTATGATTTTAGCTTCATATTTAATTGATAGAGAATAGCTAGAACAACAAAAGCCTAAATATCTAAGAATATAATTAAAATAAAATAATTTAATAAAACGTTTAGTAGAACATGGCGACTTGTTACTGGATTAAATGACTTGTCACAGTGAACTTTTTTTTGCTGTGCAGATGTGTTTGTTTGTTCATAAACCACATCAGTCCTTCTGTCTCAACTTTCGATTGATAAAGGCTAAGATCCTTTAATGACTTTTTGGGAAATGAGGATAACCTCTTGTTCTGTGCCCATATCGACACTTCTTTAATTTCTTCGGCAAACTTGAAACAGTTCTTCAGCAAGTGAGTCCTTTAAAGCCACACTGTGGCAAAACAGAAAATGCAGCTGACATGTCAGCTTGGTCCATTTTCACAAGACAAAGGAGGTATTCTTTTTTTTTTTAAATATATATAAACAAGTTAAATATACAATAGCCTACAAGAGAAGGAAGGATCAACTAAAGAAAGGGGAATAGTAGAAGGAGGAGCCCAGAATTGTTTAGCACAAGAGGAGGGAGGGAAAGAGCGAGAAAGCTCTTCTTCACTTCAGAAAAGCATTTGCTTATTTGAGTTTTGCCAGGCAAATTATTTCTTGACATTGTTTATTCATGACATGATTTAGTGACTTAAAATTATCTACGGTTTAAGCTTTCACGACTGTGGAGTCTTAATAAACCAACATGGCGATGCTGACTGTAGTTCCCCTGAGCTGATCAATCCTGAACTCCCGTAGAGAAATGAAGCACCAACAAATTAATGTGCCACCTTCTTCTAAGGAAGCAAATAAATAAGAAAACTAAAAGGGGGACTCTGAGTTCAGGACTAATCAATCCTGCTGAGTCTACAGGCCTTTCTCATCACTGAACCATAGCATCGGTGGAATGCTCCTCAGGGCTGGCGGTTGCCGTACATGAGAGGTATGATGAAGACTGAGATGTCGTCTCCGGAGCCCAGGCGCTCATTGGTGATCCTCCAGCCTCTGTCTCTCAGAACACCTCGTGCTCGCATCACCAAATCCTGTGCTGCCATTGTGTACCTGGCCAATAGAAGACACAGCAATGAAGCCCTTGCTTTAATATTGTGATACGCTGTAGCTCATTTAATTTAATGGCACTCTCTTGAAACAAACTCTATAGTCTAACAGCGCATGGTGCTGAAAAGAAGGATGTAATTCTGAATAAAATACACAACACAGAGGCACAATTTACAAAATTCCTATTTATTTATGTAGCAAAAATGAAATAACTAGGCAAAGGAAATAAAACAAAGGAAAGTTCCAACCTGTGTAAGTCGTCAGGGTCGCAGTTAGCTAGAAAGGTGGTGACGGCTTCAGCCACCTCCTGGTTGGAAAGGACATCCCAGAGGCCATCAGTTCCCATCACAAGCACATCATCAGCTCCGTGTTCGTAATGCATCAGGTTATACACCTTCACCTGCATGATAAACAACAAAAGGGCCATCAGTTCAACTCAACTGATCCCTTTTATCGGTAGTAATATGGATGTTTTTTTAAAGCTCATCATAGCAAAGAGAAAGCTCTACCGAGGGTATCAAATGACCTTTTTAATAGGTTTTACGCAATCATTCCATTCTTCTGCATTGCATAAAAAAGGGGGGTTGGTTCTAAGGGAAGTGCTCTAGATCTTTAACATTCATACATTTCAAATTCAGTGTTCCCACGGCAACATTTCACTGTTACCGATTTTAGTTGTGGTGTTCCTCAAGGCTCGATCCTTGGTCCATTGTTAATTGCAGTTTGCGTTTTCTCACATGGACTGTTCTAACCTACATTTTCTTAAGTTATACTTTTCTTTTTAGTCCAGTGACCCCAAGACTGTTTTTATACTCTTAGTCCTAAAGCATGGAAGAAAAGCCTGATGTTGCCAGCTCAATAGTGGAGTTGGCTCATGACCAAATCCATTAAGTAATTGTAAGTGTTCTGATGCTTTTATAATAAATAAATGGATTTTAATACAATCCAAAATGACATTGTTTCTTTCATCCATTGTACATAAGGCCATACAGGAAATTATTTGCTCCCGCTTTGATGACTGTTAGCTACAGCTAGCTATACATACTGTACATATCACTCTGCTATGTCCAAAATCACATTGGCCAAGTATTATTTTTCACAAACTCTGCTCATCAGTTAGCATTGAATAGCCCCGTACCATAAGACCATGACCCCTTCATGTTACACCGGCGCTCTCTGAGATGCTTGAATGGTCAATATCCATAGCTGTCAGCTCGTAAGATCAAGTGACCAGACTTGCATCATCTGGCAACATCTTAGGTCTTTTATTGAGATTCTTTTAAAAATATTTAGCTGTGGTTTCTCATTGTTCTTTTTTTTAAATAAAAAATAATAATAAAAATAATAAAAAATTATAAAAAATAATAAAAAAAATTTGCGAAGCAATTTGGGGCTTTGCTAATAGCAATTTATAGATGCCTTATTATACAGAAACTTATAGTACTCAGTACCCCCAACCACCACCCTGTTTGAATCGACTGCCTGGTCTGACTGCACACATCAACCTTTGTTGTTACTTTGCTCTTGTGTTCACTGCTGAAACACAGGATTGCTTCACCCTCCTGCCTTATTCACTACTCATTTCAAATTGACGTGAAAAACATAAAAAAAGAATAGAGGAAGAATCTGCACTGCTGGATCTCATCACTGTGGCTTTAAAGTGCAGAAAATATTCAACTATTTTCTAGAATCATTTATGTATTCATCAGCAGGAAAAAAAAAGCAGAAAAAAACCCCACGAAAATGAGTCAGAGTAAACCATTAATTTCCATCTGCCCTGTAATTCAAAATAATACACTATACATCCATTAATAAATAAGAGATTCTATTATCATCTTTTTGAAAATCTTGCTTGTAGTTTTTTCCCCTTTCCAGTTTTGCTAATTGGCTTTTACACATTTATGTAATTACAAAACAGTGAAACAAAACTGCAATTTTAATTAAGGCTGGTATACTATGACTACGACAGATGAAATGATGAAATCTTTTCTGTCCAACACTTTACACACAATGACGCCTGACGCTTCTACGACTTAATGAATGTAATGCCGTTTCTTGCTTTACAGAGAACATCTCGAGATACCCCTGAGAGGCTTTGTGGAGAGGTGAGAGAGTCGTGAGGGAGAGGGAGAGATCCAGACAGAGGCTCTGAGTGCTGAGAGGAGTTAAGACTTCCATGTGAACCTGGTATGAACCCCGGGAATTAATGAATTAAAGATCAAGCAGAGCGCTCGGGGAGGAAAAATGCAAAACTCTATAAGACAAACTGCATCAGGAGATGAAAGCGGTTTGAAACCAGCGCCAGACAGACAGGTGAGCTCAAGTTCTCCAGCAGCAGAGGACTTTTTTTTTTTCCAGACAGAGAAGCAGAAAATCGCATCTCTAGTGACTGCAGTGCAGATATGACCGAGGCAGAAGTAGGTTAAGCCAACTGACTGACTTATTCCATCTGCACTAACTTATATTTCGTTTCATGACTGCTCCTGAGTTTTTCATGCACATACATGGAAAAACCAAAAGACAACTGACGTGGCATCTAAAATATTGTAAATAGCATTAAATGAAGGAGATGGGGTGCGATGTGGTTTGCAGAGACAGTAGTTGCTGCATGCAGGACCATTTGTTAGAGTATGCATAAAAGACTACCAGCTATCAAGTTCATATAGGCTGGCACTGATCAGCTGATTTGCCAGGACTGCAGGCAGAGTTTATATAATTACAGTGCAGGATGCAGATTATGCTTTTTATTCTTTCAGTATCCGCCTGGACAAAAGCCACATGCTATATATGTCAGACTTGTTTGCAAGAAGCTGTAAAAAGCTAATTTACAAAGCTGACTTCATAAATCCTTATAGTCTTCATAAATCCAAGATGAAGATGAAAACATAAAAACCACTCAAAATGTTGTTGTTTTTTTTATTTTACTCTGACATGGGCAATTCACACATTGCCATATGCTTTCACAGATTTTCTGCCAGCAGCTTCAATAGTTCAAGAAATTGAAATGATCGCAAAGAGGAGGAACCGGTGAAGAGAAACTGAAGATTAGTCATGTACAGAGGAACAACAGCAGTTTACATGAAATTACATACCATTACAGGGGTGGCTATAGGTGGAAATTTCTTTTTTACTTTTTTTAAATCATCAAGCGTGAAGTGTTCCTTTCATTGTTTATTTATTTTTATTGTTTTTTAGCTTGAAAATTGAACGTGAATTATTAAATATGTTTTCACTTTTTAAAAACTGCATTTCAAAAAATAAATACATAAATAAAGGAACACTTCACACTTGATGAGCCAATCATAGCAGTTCCCTGCACTGTGCAGCGTGACTTTTACTGGATGTAATAAAACTATGTTAAAAAAAAAAACAGCTAAACAGCCGATAATAGGCCGTCTAAAAAGTCTCGGACAGCAGAAGGCGAAGAGCTGGCTCATCCTCTGATGTTTGGAAACTAAGAACAAATCACATGCTAAGAGCCTTGCAAAGTTGTGTCTACACCACAAATCAGCCGCCTGAAAACACACCGCAGACAGCAGTATAATTATTGCACTAAGTTCCAGAAAAACAACGCAATGGCTGCTAATCCAACGTCTGCTCAGATGTCCACGAAAGCGTTTCCACCCACCTCACAGAGACACACTGAAAACCCCAAAGCAGTCAAATTCTGTTTGACCAAAGATAAGCATCCACCAAACACGGTGAGTAGCGAATGCTCAAGATAATAATTAACACACTGGTGAAAATACGTGTTATCCCCTTGCAGAATTTTTTTTCCCAAACTGGCAAAATGTACCTGTGTGCAAAGCGTTGCAGGGAAAAGAGAGCTGTCGAGCACTTCCTCACAGCTGCAATGATTGGAGGGAAAGGCTTTGTATTTTGCTTCTAAAAGATGAAACGCTTTATCTTTCTACAAAGATTAATTAAGAGGAATGTAGCAAAATATAAAGGTGAAAGCAACGCTCTGTTTTCATTTTGCGTTACGTCTTAGTGTGTCAGCAGGTCACTTTACCTCAGGGCAACAGGACAGGAACGGCTTGATGAAGATGTTGGAGTCATGAACTTTGAGGTCGTGGTCACCGAGTCCGCGGGTCACACCGATGGTGGCCAACACCCGCGCCTGGAAAACAAACTGGTTAGGGTTTTTTAAAAAAATTTTTTTTAAAGCATTTAGCATCTCAGCCGGAGACAAAAGTTCTCTTTAGAAGAGGATCCGGCATAAAACTTCCACATCAATCATGTGGAGCTACCCGCCTCGGTGACCCGTTGTGGCGAGAGAGCAGCCGAAAGCATCTTCTCCCAGACACTGACATAAACATGGCTTCGCAACAAAGTTAATGCATAAGTTCAAGAAGTAAGATCTGTAATCACTCATCTGCCTGCTAGAATTTTTTTTTACATCACTTCCTCTTTCCCACGCTGTCAGAACTCAGTGCTGACATCATTACTCTCATCCAGCCATTTTTCAATCAGCCTTTAAATCTCAGTGCTCTTCTGTCATTCCACCTTTCAGACTCGCATTTGTGCAACCCGCCTCCTCCCCATCCATCTCTCCCCGGCATCTCTGAGCCATAACCCAAGTCTCCATCTTCACCAGCACCAGCATAAACACAATGGGGGGGTCCTGTCCTAATTCCTGTCATTGCTGGGTCTCCGTTCTGCTGCTGCTGGTTTATCTGGGTCTAATCGCCAAAACGCTTTTATTCAAATTCTGTATCTCAATAAATCATGTTCACCCCCAAAATGATGTCTCCTTACTGAACCGAGTGACAGGAATCACATAAACATATGCTAACACCATTTTGGGCGAGTGAATCTGGGAACATTCAATGACAGTCTGCGCTTTTATAATAGATCATTTACATCCACATACATTTTTTTATTATATATCAACATATTAACAGCTGATATTTCAGATGCAAAAAACAAATTCAACAAAGTTTTCAGGAATAAAAATTATGAAGCTGTATTGTTTGGTTGTGTAGTCTTTTTGTTGCTTTGTTTGCAGCATATTAAAGGGCAATGTGTATCTGAAGGAGGAAAGGGCTGGCCAATGAGACAGGAGGTACTTGCTTTGTACACAGCCAGACAAAAATCCATCTGTGCCCTTAAGAATTCATCCTGCTGCTGCCATCTATCATCAGTGCTGCGTATCAGCATCATCAATCATCAGTAATGACGAGCGAGTCGGTTTGAAATTTTCACCCTGCTGTTAACGTGCTTTTTGAGGGGCTGATGTAAGTGGGTGGCAGGCTGGTGATAGACGAGTGCGATAAAGCTGTCGTTTTTTTTGGATGAATGGGCAAACGTACTGAAAAAAAAAAAAGAAGCATCTGGGGCAGAATTTCTCTGTAAAACTACTGCTTTGCACGATGATGACATTATCAGGCAGCGGCACAACAAACAGCTTCAAAATGGATTTGTTAAATACACGCTGGCCAAACAGCGGAAGGATATTTACGGCAAAAGCAACAGTGTCAAAAGTGCACAGAGACTAGTCTTTCAGTTATCGCATTCTTGTGCAACTGCCTTCCTCTCTCTCATTCCTGTGACGACGCTTTGTTGTGACCGCTCTTTGAATTCAGCACCCATTCACTACTTCAGACGGACGACACTGTGTGTGTGTGTGTGTGTGTGTGTGTGTGTGTGTGTGTGTGTGTGTGTGTGTGTGTGTGTGTGTGTGTGTGTGTGTGTGTGTGTGCGCGCCGCGCGCGCGCTGTGTGGTCGTCAGAAGATGCTTTCCTTTCTGGAGCTTCGCGTTACATCTCTCTCTGCATCAAATGGAATTGATTGAAAATATGAAACAAACGGACGTGACTGAGAATAAAGGCGTTTTTCCCCCTTTCTCCGCTGCAGTTTATTTGGTGGAGTATTTTCAGCCTCTCCTTCTCTCCTCTCCCCTGCTATCCCAGCGGGGATTAACTTCGCTTCTCAGAGAGACAACTGTCATCTCCCGAGTGGTGTGCGTCTGTCTGAATGTCTGTGTGTGTCTTAGATATAGGGTTGCCGCTGGAGTGAAATAGATGGACCGTCTCCCCTCTCTTCTAAGTGAGGGTGCGCACTGACACACGCGCATGCACTCACTTGAGAGAGTTCGCCCACTTTCTGGGAGGCTGGCAGGCTTGTAGAGTGTGTGTGTGTGTGTGTGTGTGTGTGTGTGTGTGTGTGTGTGGTGTGTTGTGTGGCGCTGAGACAGACTGACAATTTTGGAGCGAGTGATTTTTTCTCTGCACTTCTGAATTCTACAGTACAAACCACACAAGGGTTGGTGAAGACACACAAACTCAGTAAAACTTGCACTGACACACACACGTATATAAGAGGAAACTTGAGATCCTCATCCTCGATCGTCTTGTAAGCCCTGTGCATGAGAAAAGAAATGCAGATCAAGGCAATGACTTTTTCCCTTTTCCACCCCTTTTCTTTCATAGGCGCACTTTTTAAAGCGTGTATATGTTAATTATGTTTGACAGACACACATGAAAAGCATGTGTACTTTCAAAAAGGAAAAAAAAAAAAGAGGGGCTCAGGGGTCTTATTTCTTCCCTATCTTAAATGCCATCTTGGTGTCTCGGTAGCTTATGGTGAATATTTTGCTCTACAGCAGATCCACAATAAATAGGTTCTACAACCTCTTCCCTAACATGCGGTACACTGAGTTACAGATGGACGCCAGGGACTGTAACACAGATACTTCTACATCAAACAGTGGTCCAGTCAAACCTCATATAATCCAGGAAATATAAATCACACCACTTAGTGTGCAATAGTTTCAACAATTGCCCCTTAAGCCATTTATACGTCAATTCTATTCACGGTGAAAACAATGGCAAAAAATGTCCCCCTAACATAAGCAGATTTATGTGTGATGGCTGGTCACCTCAGCATAAAAGAACAAGCAGTAGCAAAGAGATAATTCTGGGTTTGATCTACTTCATACAAAGTGCAACAAAGAGCCCAGCTGCTGATACAGCAACGTCCCACACATGGGCACAACTTATATTTTGGAACTCTTATCGGTTCATGATACAAGCACTTGACAGGGCATCCAAAAAGCAATAATTTGACATAAAACTGTTAGTCCTCTATAGATTTATTGTAATGTAAGACTTAAATGTGCATACAGTTTGTTATAATGTCTAAATGGCAATTCGGAAGTTGATGTTTCAGATGTGCAAAAAAAGTTCACAGATAAACATCATTTAAGACATTTGTTGCTTTGGTTTCAGCGCGTTTTGGGATTTTTATGGATGAAAGGTGTGACTAGTGAGTCTGGAGGAACTGCTTTGTACACAGCCAGACAAAAAAAGAACAAAACAACAGTCTGTACTTTGAACACTTCGTCCTGCTGCAGGTGTCATCTATCACCAGCAATGACGTGTATCAGCATCATCGATCATCCGTAATGACGAGTAAGTCAGTTTGAAATTTTCACCCTGCTGTTAACGTGCTTTTAGAGGGCACTGTACATAAGTTGGGTGGGCGGACAGAAACCCAAATGGAAATTGGAAGTCAATTTCTTCTACAGCAGTGACAGCTAACATTTTAGCCACACACCAATACTTCAGTTGTTGGTGGCAGTTTAAGAGGTACGGCTATTTACTGTTCTACTTTTATAAAACCGAAGCACCTGATGGACAAAGATTTGAAAGAATCATCAATGCTACCGCTTACCTGATAAATGACTTTATCTATTCAACTCCCAACCTCTCAAATAACTAGTAGCCACAGATCAAGGTAACTTTAACTACACACAAACAATAATTTTGGAAACTCTATTTTACTTTTGTCTCTAATCAAATGTTAATTTATGATTGTCCCATTTCTTACTGTAGTAATAACTTGTGTCTAAGGACGAACACACAGGTTAGCAACAAAGTGAATCACACACTTTTAGGTTTTTGATTTTGCTTGCATGTCAACGCCAGAGTGACTCTCTAGGGCGTAATAACAAGTGTTTTCTGAGCTGAATATTTTAGCAAGAAAGCTAGAGGGAGGGAATCTCAGGATCCGCAAGCAAGCAACAAAAATAAGTTCAGAAGTGCATAAAGTGGGTGGGGGGAGAGATCTGAAAAACGAACTTAGAAATGGAGCTTTGATGTCAGACTGAAAGACTCCCTGGCTGACGCTGATGTACTTAAACTGGCTAGATTAGGTTTGGCGTCACCAGTCAGTGGAGAATATCAACAACTTCAAACAGCTTTATTATCTGAGTAAGGGTTTGCTCTGTCTGTCAGTCCATGTCTCTTTCTGCCCATCTGTCCGTCTGTCTCAAAAGTGAGTGATGTACTTTACCCGACCCACAGGCAAGGCTCTCTTTCTGTCTCTTCCTTGCCAGCATCATCTCTACCTCTACCTCGTCTTCATCCATCAGCGGCCCTCCTGCCCGTGCGTGTCAAACTTAACACGGACAGACAAATGCAAACGAAAGATTACTCTAATTTTTTTTCTCCCACCATTTTACGTTGAAAGTGAGGGAACTTCTGAATGACAATTCTCATTCTCAGTACTGAAAATTCACTGCTTGGAGTAAACAAGCCATAAGCTACTTCAGCTTTATTCTCCAGCTGACTCAATTTGCGACTATCAGCAAATTATGATGAAATGAACCTAATAGAAAGCTGAGATCTGCAGTCCTGTGAAAAACTACGTACACCCCATGATTTAATAACTTGTAGAGAAACTCTTACTAGCTATAACGCGGTTCACCTTTCGCGGCCTCGCTGTTTTGCGGATTTTTATTGTGCAATTTTCCATGTGTGTGCGTTTTTTTTTTTTTAAAAAGCGCATTGTGTTCTGCGTGCTGATTGGCTGTAGACCATTGTCAATCAATCTTGTGCCGTGTCTCCTGTACAGTACAGAATGCGTTCAGCTTGTGAAATTTACATAAATCTTGGATCGCTAGCAGTGTGACTCTGCTGTACTGTATGTTTGTACGTTTTCTCCCCAACAAACACAACAATGTCGACGAAATATTTTACCCGCAGGTGCCTTTGGTTTCATTCTATAATACTGGACTTATTTTTCTATAAGGGTTGAACTTTGAGGGTGTTTAAACAAGAGAGAAACGTGTGAACATGTTCATGCCTGTCTGAGAAAAGTGTATAAAGTGTGTAGTGAGGGGTTTTACAGCCTGACAACATCTATAATAACTATAAAAAGTTGGGTACTTCGCAGATTTCACCTATCGCTGGTTATTTTTGGAACGTAATTGCCGCGATAAACAAAGGACCACTGTACCTGGATTTTCTTTTTTCCACTGCAGTGAGTTTCTCATTTTCGGTGGACAGATGAGCTGTTATTTTTGTCCACAGACCAGTTAATGTTTGAGAATTCTTATTTAAAGAAAGGTTACTCATACAAAACATGCCACGATTTCTTTATATTTCTAGATTAGATGAATAGCGTAATTTCAAAAGTGTCCACTAGTGGTGATGAATCCATACGGAAATATTGCTTCAGGCTGATCCCCTCTTTCCACCATCTTTCAGATCGTTGGGTTTTACCGCTTTTAACTACAATGGTCTGGTTGACCAAAAAGACTTTAATCAATACCATTAAAAGCCACATTAAACAATCATCTTCAGCAAAAAGCATCTAATAAACCTAGCATACACCAGCTAGGTTAGTAGCAGCTGCTGAACATCAGGCAAACATGAGATGACTGGCAAAATGCCCCCAAAAAGCTTCAAGATGGCAGTCCAAAAAGCAATAAGCATCATCACTGTGACTAAGTCCATTTTTAATATACAGTCTATGCCCCCAAACCAATACCAATCACACCATGATGCTTGTCCATTGTAGTTTGGAATCTGCAAAAAAATGTTTCTATTAAATCTGCACCAGTTCCAGAAATGTTCAAATGTTTCCTCCTTCTACTGAAATATGGACAAATACAACAAATGACTCCAAACAGTTTCCTTTCTCCGATGTGAAGAGAAAGTCGGCGCTACATCCTGGCTGGCACATCTCTGCTTTCGAGGGGCAGTGTCACAGTGAAATATACATCACACAATAGGAACAGTACTGTATGTGCCTGTGTGTCGGGGAGAGGGAGCGATTGTGTCAGTAAAAGCACACCTCATTACTGGCTTCCACTGCAGCCACAGTCAAACAGCATGGTGCCTTGCTAACCCACATAACAACGCACATACAGGACCATCTCTGCTGTATCATTATATCGAATCAGGTTAGGCTTCTCCCTCATTAGCTCTCTGCTGGTCTCCTCAGCTCCCACCGGATGCCATATTATGAGCAAGAGTAAAAGAGGCAGGAGCAGAGACTTTTTTCCCCATCATAACTCCATCTATTAAGAATGCAGCGGGAGAGGGTTGAGGTCTGCCAGACCCCGAAAATTAGCAGTTTTCATTCCACGTTATAAATTGAATGGCATCGTACACGGTAACGCAGCCTGCTTTAGGGATGTAGGAGTCTGCCGTCGTTAAGTGCTTCACGACACCCGTGTGTGAAATGTTAAATGGGAAAAACGCACCATCCGTTCATGGTGAAGTCTCTGTAGAGCATCCTCTTGCCCACCTCCTTCCTCTGAACTCTCCGGGGGAACTCCAGGTGTGTGAACTCATTTCCTAACAGGTGAGGCTGCATGAAACCCTGGAGGACAGACAGTAATTTCGAGTCATTATGTGGCAGATGTGTGGAGCATCCTTACCCATCACTGTAGGTTTTTTGCCCAATTTTAAGTGTTGCAACAAACACTATTTGAAATTTAATTATTAAAGAACTGCGAGAAGCTGAAAGAGAATCTTCTCAGTGTTCTGACGCACAAACTGTGTGATGACATCAGTGTCATTTACACTTAAATTTGCTCTAATATGCTCATTACCAGCTCCATATTTTTTTATTCAAGGACTCTAGTAGACTAACTTTGAAAGACTCAAAAATCAAAATAATCCCAGTTCTAAGTCCCTCCCCTTTAAGCAAACTTTCTTCTGATTGGTTGCCAGTCATGAACAGAAGATTTAAACACACCTCAGATGGCCATGTTAATAATATCCACAGCCAACAGCTGAAAAAAACCTGCTTGAAACCAAACATTTAGAGCAGCTTGAAGCAACTCGAACTACTTACTTTTAACTTTAGATTTGTTATATATGAGTCTTTAACACTTTACTAGTATATTTATGAAAAAAATAAAAAAAAGTATCTATAAAAAAAAACCCCCACTTCCTTAGGATCTCAAGTTATTTGTACAGAGTTGAAGCAAACAGGCTTGAACATAGGATTCACATAACATATAAATTAATGTTAAGTTTATATCAGGTTAAGTTAGCTAAACAGGATTATTTAATTCCACAAAAATTACCAAGTCAAATATTTGTATCTAATTTGTTTAGGTTCTCCTTACTTATTATGCTATGGGTCATATTTATTATAAAAATTGGATAAAAATGTATATTTGGTATACGTAGTACCACTGCATGTACAGTGGGGTCCATAATTTGTCAGAAAAAGACAAAGTTTTTTTTATTTGTTTTTTTTTATGTGTTGCCTCTGCACACAAACACAGTGAATTTTAAATCATAGATCATTTTAAGTAATAATTTTTTTTTTTTTTTATTCATAGCTGTTATTACTGCAATTTGAAATCTGAGCCCCAAATAGATGTCATAGATGCTGAAAGGCTGAAACATCAAAATAAATCTATCGGAGGGACCGTTAGAACTTTAGGGGACAAATCAACAATCTGGTTCATTCTTATAAAGAAGGAAAACACTGGCCAGCTCAGCAACACCACAGAAGTCAACTAAAATGAATTATTTACATGGTTAAGAAGAACAATGTCACAATATTTAACAAAGTCATGAGGGAGGCGTAACTTCGTCGAGGTCTACAATCAACAGACGCCTTCATGAATGCAAATACAGAGGCTTTACAACATGGTGCAAACTACTGGTTACTCTCAACAGGTACACTGTTAGACTTGGCAGAGAACATCAAAGAGAACAATTATGAAAAAGAATCTTTGGATAAATGAAACCAAGATGAACCTGTAGGAGAAGTAAAGGAAGAGCTGACGATCTGAAGCAGCAGGATGAATTCTGAAGTGTACAGGGCCACACTCTCTGCTCGTTCAACCCAATAAAGCAAGTTTTTAAGTTATTAACACAAAAGTGAAGACAGAAAGAGCCACAAACAAGGAGCAGCTGAAGGCCTAGCAGAGCATCTCAGGGGAGGAAACAACATGTGGTGACGTGAAGTTGTTGAGTTGAGGCAGTCGTTGAATTGTTGAATTAGAGCTGGAAATCTGCACTTGACTCACATCTTGATTGATTTAAAATCCTGTGCTGGTGTACAGAGGCAGAATTACAATTATCTTGGTCTAACAAATTATAGATGCAACTGTGCGTTCATCAATATTCAGATTTCATTATAGAAATATGAGTGAATGTTAAGCACCACTGCACTTCCAAAGAAATTATAAACACTTGTTGTGTTTCTTAGGAAAAGTGAAAGGCGGAGAGTTTCCTTACCAGGAACTGGAGTCGCTGTCGTTCTGACTCTGGTGTGAACTCTGTCGACATGGGAATGATCTCATTGTTTCTAATAATGATAGCCCTGCGCACACAAAGACATATAAAGTGTTGGAAAACATTACCGGTCATTCAAATGACGTGGTTTTTTTTCTTTCCAAACTTCAAGGGCAAAACATAAGCACAGGTACCTGCTGTCACCTGCGTTCCCAACAAATAGCTTTCCTAGGAGGTAAACCACAGTGAGAGCCGTGCATCCTCCTGTGATGTTAAAAACTTGCTTCTCCCTCTCGATCTGGGCGTCCTAGCAGAGGTAAGGACAAGAGACGGAGACTTTAAAGGAGCATCGTGCGAGAAGACAATCAGTAAGACCTCCGAAAACACTCCCACGACCGCCCACATGACAAAGATTTAGGAAACGCCAAACAAGTTAAGCTTTTGCATGGCTTGGTCCTCACGTGGGCAGAAGGAGAGTTTACATACACTACACAGAGTAAGACTTTATTCACAAACACAAGAACCACGAGAGGGAGAAATACACAAGCCAACAGCAAGCAAGAGGAAACCTCGTCAACTTCTCAGAAAGGCGAACAAAGTGTGGGCATCGAATGAGACTATCGATTGGTTTAACCTGCACCTCAAGTCGATGTTGTGTCAGTAAACAAGTGCATGTTGTGAGCGAATCACGAAGATACCGATACATGAGATGGCTTGCAAGTGGACTTATAATTATCAGGTCAGAGCAGCAATGGATGTTTAATGTACACTCCTTTGTATGCTATGTACGCTCCTTTTTGAGTCCTTTACTGTTTTAAAAGAGATTCAGTTTGCTAGTTTATTTCAATGCACAATCATAAAACGTTGCTGGAAATGCACCACACACAGACTGTAGAGTATTTTTAAGGGATTCACATAATGAATAAGCAGGCAGAACAATAATAAAAAGAGATGGATGGGTGAAATTTGCACAAAACTAAGAGGTGCAGAAAAAACATGCTGGCTTGTTTTATACCAACTGAAGGCTAGATAAAACACACTAACAGTGGAACACAATAAAACACAAATAGAGCATCGTCTCACACGTCTCCTGAGCAATCCCAGCCCATTCTTCTTTGGCGAATCTCTCAAGCTCCTCCAGATTTGATGGTCGTCTGGCTTGGATCTTGGTCTTCAGTTCAACCCACAGATTTTTTATTTGTTTAAAAAAAAAATGGAATCAAGTCAGGGCTTTTCAGCAGGTCAGTCGGTAAGGTCCACTTTGGTCTTGTAGAGGTAGTTCTTCGCCAGGGGTGATGTATGTTTTGAGTTGTCGTCGTGTTTTGAGGACAAAGTGATGACCCAGGCTCAGTTTTGCTGCTAATTGCTTTAATAATCTTCATGTCCTTTCTTCATGATTCCTCCCACCTTGATTAGATTCCCAACTAAAGACACGCTGAGTATACCGAATCATTCTCGAGGTTGTCCTTAGGATACTTCAGTCTGGTTTGAAGGCATCTCTTCTGCAAAAGTGGACTTTTTCTTGGTCTATACTCACAGCCCATTCCCTGTGCGAGGTTCTAGTGATTGTCTTCTTCGGCATCACAATTCCTGACTTGGTTAAGTCATTCTCTTGTGTCTCTAGTGTCTTGGCAGTTGTTCTGGAATCTTTAGACACATTTCTCACTAGTTTTCTAGAAATCTTTCACTGCCTATCTCTACCAGCCTTGTTCTGTGTGGCTCTGTTCGAATTTCTTGATGATACTTCTCACTCCAGATCCCAACACCTGGACACGTTGGGATAACTTTTTTTATCCTTTTTTTTTTTGTGAAGATCAACAATTCTTTTTCACAAACTGATTTCTGGTTGTTTTTCGGCATAAATTGGAAGACAACCCTCATTTGGAAGTTGAGTTTATGAAGCTCTGAGCATCACAGAAGCACATCATTGCACAGCGCTGGTTTGTGATATGACTCAATAAAAAGCTCCATTTATCAGGGGGATAATAATATTGATGATAATTTAATGCACGTCCCCACTTGCACCTTTTGTGAACAAGTGCTCTCATGCTGACTGGTGCTGACCGGGTTATGAGACGTACAACGTGTAATTATGTGCCTTAAACAAACATGTGCACATATTTATCTGAATATTTGCTCACGTTTCTCCCAACCCAGAAACTCTCACATCAGATCAGCAACTGAGCAATAATGAAAATATAGTGAGTTAAACCCAGCATGGTCTAAAACATGGATGAATGCTCCCGGACTTACAGTTGTGTAGAGAAAAGCTACAGAAAGAGCTTCATGAGGAGCAGCAGCCCCCTTGCGGGCTTCAGATGGAATTTTTTATTTTTTTATTTTTTAATTTTTTTTTTAAACTCAGTAGAGATCACAGCTTTAACCGATGAAGTGATAATCCTCTACAAAAGATGTCAAATCAGGTGCAAAAGTGCTTCTTTTCAAAAGAGGAAGGGTAGCGTCTAAGCTTAGTCCAGCCTGAGCTGTTTGGGTTGCTTTCCATTGCCATCTAGTGGCAACACTGCATAATCCTTGCCTCATAAAAGATCTTACAAACCAATTTAAAAGAAACCTACAATTAAAAGAAAAAAAAAAAAACTGAAGGAAACACACGACTGAAAGGGAATAAAAGTATCTGTTCTCTTTTAGATAACATCTATATAAGAAATAAGTTTGATGTTGCCACAGGCTCTTTCATAAATTTAGCTGCGTGCCTTTAATTAAAGTGCTAAATATTTACAGAATTTTTATGCAATGCTGCTGTTTGATCAAGATATTAATATGATTAATGTGTGTATATATATATATGTGTCGTTTTGCTAAAACGACATCACTTCCCAGTTTGCTTAAATAAGGAATAAACAGAGATGCTAAAGGTTATGGTCAAAGAAAATATTTGTGAGAACCTTTTCAAAGTGTGTATGTTGGCGAGTTTGCGTGCCGTATGTAAAACTTTTATTTTGTTTAGCTTGCGCTGACGCCTTCATCAACTACATGTGCACATCTGCTTGGCATCCCTGTAAGTGTTTATTTTGTGCACACATAAAAGCACACATGTGGATAATGTAAATATGTTAGGCTTTTTCCTAAAAAGCATGCTTAAAAAAATCCGTCTGTGATCATTTCGTGGCCTTTAAAGTAAATTTACGAACCACAGTCAACTGAAATCAACCACGTTGTGTGCAGGCCGTCTTGCAACGGCACAGACAGTCTGTTCAGAGCAATAACTGTGGCTTGCAACCATAGAGTAACCTTCATTATTTGTAATTATTTTTTTCCAAGTATGGAAAAATTGTTTGGCCCGTAAACATCTGCTGCTTTCAAGAGCGTTAAATGACACTTTAACTGCCGCACCTGCATGATGTGCATATAATTACTCTTACAGTGCATTTGCTCTCATTTCTTTACATTTTGCTAGTAAAGTGGAGAATAGGTGCAGAGGTTTATCAAACCATTAAACACAATATATATGAAAATACAGTATATAACACAAAAAAGAGAATTTGTACAACTTGAAAGTCAACATTTGGAATGACCACCTTTATTCTTTAACTCACCCTGAGTTCTCTCAGGCAGTTTTCTTGTTATTTTTTAAAGTAGTCTTTAGGGATATTTCGCCAGGCTTCTTGAAGATTATCCCATACTGCTTCAATAATGCTGAGGTCCTGGCTCTGGGGAGGCCAGTCCATGCACTGGCAGTCTGTTTTGTTCTCATTGTCATAGTAAACAATTAGGCCACTGCCAGTCAAATGCTTTCTAGATGGTATTGATAGCCTGACGACACTTTTCTATCTTTTTCATTGCACTGCATGCTGAGATATGCCAAGTTTATAATAAGCTATTGAGCTAATAGCTCTTTGGGAATCACCTTGCTTATGTAAAAATATTATTTTATGTCTTTTAAACACTCTTTACTTTTCTTATAGATTCAATAAAGAAAAGTGAACAAATTAAGTGTTTTTGGACAGGCTGCCTTGAGTCAGTAACCTTTTTATATTTTAACGATTAACAGGTTTGTATTAAGTGGCTTAACAAACAAACAAAAAGAAACTTTAGGAAAATGGTCAGGTATCAATATTATAAAAGTACCGCAACTAGCGGGACAAAGATGTGCTTTTCTGCACATCCAGTTAATAACTCTAATATAGGTTGGACCATTTAAGCTGCTTTAACCTGACCAGAGTTGCAAGCCACTTTACAACCCACCTCCAACTTAATTCATGTGTCAATGCCATTTCTGTTGTGAATGCCAGCTCTGTTCTCACGTATTCACGTGTCCAAGAACAAAGTCATTAAGCCAGATATTTATTGGAAATAAAGTTCATTGTTAAATACTTGAATCTGTTGCCTTTTCACCATATTCTTTGTGTCTTACAATCACAGTGTGAACGCAAACTTAAAAATGTTTCCAGATGCGAGTCAAAATACAAGCGACCCGGTCAAAAGTCATGTTTGTGCCTGCTAAACACCCTTATTTATCACTTTCAGGAACACGGGTCATCTCAGTCTGTGGGAACAACCAAGCAAAACAATGGCTAAGTGGGAGGATTTATAACAAACAATGTCTCACTCAAATTGATTACTTGTCACCACAGGAAAACACATTGGAAATGTTACTAATAACCACTACCAACAGCTTGCTTCCTTCCAGTAAGCCATTTAAGTGAAGCAGCACACACAAAACCAGATCTATAATTACTAGTTATTAGTTTTAATAATTGCCTTTGAAGCTGATTCAAACAGTTAATAAAAGCATAAATAGCTTTGGATGGATTAGAGGAAGGAAGCTGGTGAAAATGCTGATATTGGAGTCATGACTGTCAAATGAGTGTCAAATTCCTGAAATGTTAAGTAACAAAAGCATGTCACCCATCTCTCACCATCTCTTTGAAGGCGTTCTCTATGGCTCCAATCACCAGGCTCTCGTGCTGGATCTTCTTCTCAGTAAAGAAGCGTGGTGGAGGCGGGGTGCTGCAAGGGGAGCCTGGTGCACCTGTGGCCCCGCGCAGGGAAGCAGCCCGGGTCAGGGCACGGTGAGGAGTGTTTCCCTGGAGGTAGGGATTACAGTCTGGCTCCTCGCCCAGCACGGTTGGGGGTGGAGATGCCAAGTTGCGCAAAATCTCTATGACGGCCTGAAGCTGGCAGGCGATGTGGTGTTGTAGCAAGCGGGAGGCGACAACTGCCGCACCTGAACCTGCGTGACCGTCAAACAAAGCCCAGTAGTGAAACACGAGTCCTTCGCTTTCCTGCAGGCGAATGGTGAGAACGCACAGAACAAAGGGCAGTTAACGGCTGAATCAAACATAATCCCATTAAAATACAGAGTCATAAAGGAATTATACTGTTGCTGCATTTTAATCAGGATTAATTGATAGCTTCCCTTGTTCGACAACACATCAACACATCATGCTTTACATCTGCAGGAAAATCCCAGAGAGATCTCAAACATAGACACGCACATCCAGACAATAAAGATGGGTTTTTTCAATTTTTCCAAAATTCCCCCTGGTCATGTCATTTAATCCATAAATAGATACTTTTTAAAAAACAATCTGACATTTGAGGAGAGGACCAAAAAACGAAGCAAAAACATGTTGCTGAATGACTAATGCTGATAGGAGATCATGTAGTATGACTCATCAGTGAAAGACCAAGAACATCATGAGTCATTGTGTCCAGTAACACAAGTGTTCCAGAGGTCAAACTTCTCTATCAGCTATCTGTGGGAACAACCTTGTCACATCTGCGTCAGAGCAAAGTCACCTTGGCATTACACATTATTCAGAATGCCTTGCAGAAAGCTTGAGTTTGGAAGTAAAGCTGTGTGTTTGACAGTTTAGCCAAACACAACAGCACAACACGTAACACAAAATCCCTCTTGGGATATTTTTCGCAATTTAGGCGAATGGGTAAACTGGGGTCAGATGGAGTCACACCCTGAGTTCTGAAGAAATTTTAACTTCTTGACGCTATGTCCTTGGACTGAACAGTGAACAAAAAGTATTGGGAGATAAACCTCTAACGATGTCTTGTCATTTATATCCGTTTTCAGAGAAATCTTTTTCTGGAAATGTTATTTTACAAAGAAATGACTCAATATGAAGCTTTGGGGAGTTAATGATAAAGTTACCATGTGTTTCAGCTATTTACTCAGAGAGCCTCTCACAGTTTTGTGGAGGTGGCACTGACTGAACAATTTAATGAAACATAAACAACTGCCTTTTATAGTTTGATATTTTCTAAAACATCATCACATATGCTGGAATTTACTGTCTGCGAATACCAACAACCCAAATTCATCTTCTCTTAGTAAATATGATTAAGACAGTCCAAAACTCTGGACACATTTCTGTGTGGAAAACTGGTTTTGCAATGGATAAAACAGGCTTGTAACATCTTCTGGAATGGATTTCCCAAAGCCCAACCCTCAGCCCTCCTGAAAATGCTCAAAGCTGGGTCTGTGGCAGGAAACCAATCATTATGAACCCTACCAAGGAGGGTGGTCAAATATTCAGCCTTATCCAGATGGGATACATTAAATGGGAACATTTGACCATCCTTCTTGGGTGGTCAAATGTTTATGCCAAACAATTGTTGATGCCTACGGAAAGCATCTGGTCGAGGTACAACTCGCTTAGGGCCGTTTAACAAAATATTACTGGGGGTGTACGTGTAATTTTAACCCATGTGGGGACACAAATCAAATTCAAACTTGTCCACCCAATTCTTGTTCTTTTAAGTCATTAAAGATATATGCCATACAATCATTTCACCCTAGAAAAAAAAAAACAGTTCAAAGCAATCATTAAAAGCCCCAAATTACCATGATATCCATGCCCATGATGAGTGCATGTGAACTTTTGACCACAACTATCTCTAAACAGGAACTCCCCCTAAGACATATTGCAGTCCTGTAAAAATTGCTGTGTTGTAACCAAACATTTCTGTTTGGAAACTGGCAAAGAGGAGAAGAAGTGAATCATCTGGTTTCCAAATGAGCCAAATCAGTGTCAAACAATATATGAAGTTTTTCATTTAATTTCATCAGAACAGATTTACTGCACATGTTGCATCCAACACACCAAATAATCCATTAAACAGCTCTAAGGACCATAAATATGGGGACAACAAACCCTCGCCTGTAAACAGTTTAATCCCAACTAGAAGCTGCACAGAAATCCTCTTGCTGTGCATTTAGTACAAAAAAAAGAAAAAAAAAAAAGAAACATTTTTTAAGACCAACTTTATTCTGCACAGTTGTTTACAAGTAGCTTCACTTAAGGTCACTGCAACCTATGTATGCATGTTAGCAAAATCTGTCAACATTTACAGTACAGGCTGTATTTGTGTGTTTGCATGCCGTTACCTCTCCTAGTCTGCTGTGCTCCATATGGAGCCCTAGGCCCTCTCCGTTGGGCAAGGAGTTGCGTCTCTTGGCAGTGGGGGTCTTGCTGGGTGTGGAGGGAGGGCAGTAGCTCATTGGCCTCCTTCTTGCTACTACCACCTCACAGCAGGCCTGGTCCTCATTCAGCGCACTCTTACCAGCATTAATAACCCTGAAAGATGGGGCACAATGTACAGGTTTAGTCATATTATAGGCAGTCACCCATTTTCTTGTCAATAGCCTTTACCAAAGAATGATTAAAAATCAAATTTGTCAACATTCAGCCAATATCATTTTTTTTCCAATTAAAGTCTTTGCTTCAAACATTAGATGCAACGCTTGCTGTGATTTCCCAGCTGTTTTCTGGAACGAGCAGTTGAACAAAAGCTGAAATCAGAAGCTTTTTTTGTGGGATGAAACAGCGCCAGGGTCTTTCATAGTTATTAAGGCTCACTGCAGGATTGCAACAATTAGTCAGACCCACTGCCTGCGGTTTCTATCTGCAGACCCAGTGAAACAGCATGCGTTGTACGTTTCATGTCCCTGATGAAGATCAAACAGGAACGCTTATTTGTGGTACTGCTCTGCTGGGAGTGTCCTGATGCATTGAGACAATCGCCTCTGGGTGAATATGAAGACTCTATTTGTGCTCAGTTGCACAAAGGGTACATGGCCAGCGCTTTGTGCATGTACGCAGTCCTGCTGAGCGTCATTTGTGCTTGTGTGCTTTAAAAAAAAAACTAAAAAAAAAACCCCCAAAACAGGCAGACCACAGAGAGAGTTTGCAGAAAAATGTAGCCCACTAACAATTTAAAAACAGCATTGTTTTACACGCAAACCACACTCTTAATCTAACAGTTTTTAAAGTTGAAAAGAAAAACTTTTGTCTTCAGTCTGCACGATAACCACATTGTTATCTGCAGCCCATACTGGAGAATAACAATTTTTCTACATATCTTGGGAAATTTTGATCAAACATCACTGTGCTCATATGTAGTTTTGGTTAGTTTGTTTTTCCCTAGCTGCGGTTTAGTGGTGCAGCACTTAGCATTGTCACCTCACTGCAAGAAGGTTCATAGTCTGAATGTCTTTTCTGGCTGGGAGCTTTCTGTGTGGATTTTGCATGTTCTACCATGTTCTAACAGGTGACACTAAACTGGAATGTAGCTAAACGGTATAAAGTATAACACAGTGTTACAATTTATTTCATGTGTCAATATTGTATCAATACAGGGACACTAAATATCGAGATTTTGTTTAATAAATGTAAAAACTCTGGGCATACTATGAAGAAGAGATCTCATCTCAGGCACCACCATCCTGAGATGATGCTAGCCAAACAAACTTGCATTAAATCCATACACTTAGCCTGACTAAGCTAGCTCCTAAATCAGTGCAAGCTAATGGTTTAGTGACACGTGTAAAAATAGGACAGCAACCTCCTTTGCAAATAATTGCTGCCTGATTTAAAAATGCAGACAGAGTCAACAATTTCATGTCTTTCATTTAATAGCTTATGGTACTGTCTAGAGACAAATGAGATAATTCAGGGTACGTTTTAGCTTGTGCCTTCGCTGCCACTAATAAGCCACTATTTTATGGCCATGCAGGCAATTAGGGTTGCAAGTTATAGGTCTACACTTAAACAGTTTCATTAAACCCTTAGTTTCACAAAACCAAGTTGTCGATGGCCAGAATACCAAACTAATGACTTGACAACAATAGTCCACAAAGTAAAGTTTGTTTCATGTTGGCTATATGAGTTTTTAAAATATATAATCTATATTTTTATTCACTAAAATACATTCACGGAGTGTTTTGTCCATAAGAGTCTTCAAAAGGTAGCTAAAGCAACGTTTGTGAACACTTTTACACATTTGAACCTGTGACAATGGATTCTTTCAGTCTGCTGGAACAATACAGAGTAGTATTATGTTTTGAGTTGATATAATGAATTTGTTTAAACAGTCTCCTATTAATGCCCAACATTCAGGCGACAGGTGACTCTTCTCCACACGCTATACGCCATAACTAAGCAGTAAAATCACCAACACTGTAAGAGTGAACCTTTTCTGCTTATACTAAATGCTTCTTAATTTGAAGCACTCGTTTTCACTTGCTGTCTCAAAGGTCACTACACCAGCTGCATAACTGCTAACTCTAGATAATGTAATTGGTCACAAATAAATGGTGAAAAAAAGTTAGACTGGCAAGTCTGGCCAAAATCCCTGGAGGGTGTTGTTGTTGTGTGTTTGTGTGTGTCTGAGTAGAGAAATTGGCATGTCTATTTATAGACATTATTGTCAGTTGCTTTCTGTGAGGCAGCAGCCTTGTCTGGTCTCCGGTCTCAAATGCTCATTAGCTTTAGTTAAAAGAGCCACGATGTGAGCATATACACATGTGTATGTCTGTGTATGCATAGTGCGATATAACTGATACTTTAAATTGTTAAAATACATAATGCAACAATAGCAAAAGTCTGTATAGTGTAAGAATATACATACACAGTATATGAACATCCTGAGGTTGAATAAAAAAATTCTTTTTGCCAATTTCTTAATAATATTTAGTTATGTGCCATTAGCATTTGAGCTGTGCAGACCCCAGTGGTCAAAATCAAAGGCGTTTTTTTTCTTTAATTGCTTATATATCAATTTGGTCCTAATGATCTCACATCATTGTCCTATGACCCCAGTCAAAGGCATCCAATTTCATCTCTACAGTTTTAATAGAAGGAATGATGAATACAGTTACTGCAGGGGTGGGCAACTCCAGGCCACGAGGGCCGGTGCACTGCAGGTTTTAGATATCACCCTGGGTCAACACACCTGAATCACATGATTTATTCGTTACCAGGCTTCTGGAGAACTTCAGGACATGTTGAGGAGGTCATTTAACCATTTGAATCAGCTGTGTTGGATCAAGGAAACATCTAAAACCTGCAGGACACCGGCCCTCGAGGCCTGGAGTTGCCCACCCCTGATGTAGTCCATCTATGTTAAATCTGTTGGTGGGATGAGGGTTAAAAAATATATTGTGCAGATTAATGAAAGAATTATTAACCACAACACAAAATTATTTGGCTAACATTTCTGTAGGTGTCTAAGATGATCAATGGATTACCAGTAGGTTGTGGACTGTTGATTTGCTGGTGCCTGTTATATTTATTCCACCATTCCCCTTCCTGCCACAAAGTATTCTTGTGGTACTGAGAGAACTCCCGACTAAGGATGACAATGCATAGGCTATAATGTGTCACTCACCGCGAAAGCTATCATGACCACTGGGTGGTCGTCAATGGCGATTAAACTTCTCTGCATTCCAACTTTAGCACTGCACCCACAGCAATAAGTGCCCTCTGAGTTACTGTGGTCATAAAACACTCTGAGGCATCGTCCACATTTGAGTTTGTCAACAGAAGAATTCCAGGAAGCGTTTCTCTGCTTCATCCAATCTGGCTGCAGAAAACATGGTAATCGTCCACATTAACATTGCATTTAATTTAATGATCCCACTGTGTTACATGAAACACACAGCCCCCATTGTGCGCACGTGACCGGGAGTACTCACACAACTTGTTTCTGTCCTCATTTCAGCCATTTCACAGGAAGAATGATTTCATTTCCCTGCCAAACAAATTTTTGTTTCATCCAGAAGACATAGCTTTCCTCCCATTAGGAACAAAACCTAATTTTCCCCTCCATTGCCAGACATCCAATGCGCTTTTTGTTTCTCCATCATCAGCAACAGATTTTAGAGCAGACA